AAACACGACCACTGAACATAATAAGTGCATATATATATTGTGGATTAAATTGACTGACCCCGGGATTAAATTGTGTGGCGCTTGGATTAAATTGTATGGCGCTTGGATTAAATTGAGTGACCACGGGATTAAATTGGTCGTCGCTTGGATTAAAATGAGCGGGAAAACCTGTAGATACAAGCAGTAGACATGGCATTGTCGCTAGCGTTCCAGTCCCCTAACTGCTCCGGCTTTTTATGTTCGAAATCGCCCAGTTTTAAAAATGGCTGACGTTCACAGCTTCATGCAATGGCCCACATAAAAAAAAAAAAAGTATATTAGAATGAACGCCCTACAGTGCGCACATACCATTTACTTTGAGTTGATCTTCATTCATTTGAGACATAGTAATTAAAATGTTGTAATATCCGTTTTGTCTCTTTCAAAAAACATCAGGTAGGTCTCCCAAATGGGCCGTATCTATTCTGATTACGACTTCCTGCAATCCCTACTTAATTCACGACATGGTTCATGTTTGGAATTTCAACGAAACAACGAAGGTCTTCCTTGGTGCAGTACTCAGTGGCCAAGTACAATACCTAGATGCTAATCTTCCCCGTAAAAATGTCGCAGTTCTCACGCACCAACGAGAGTCTGCAGTCGTGTACTTTTTCACGGCAGGTATTTTGATGCTTGGGGCGTTAATCGGGAGTTACCGTAACGCTAACACGAGTGAGTATCGGATGCTGACATCTCTCTCGACTGAGCAACGACGTGACAAAATCTTGATCCACTTTGAGCCACAACCCGCCAAAGCGCGAATCGGGAACAATAAGCGGGGACGCCTCAGCTGAAGAGATATTAGATATACTAGCCAATATCAAATATGCAGCCTGACTCAAGTATCCTAAATAAAGGCTCCCCCGGCCTCCCCCCCCCCCAAGAAAAAAAAAACTAGCAGAGGGGTAGGGGCAGCAGGCATTTTTTTCCTAATGGGGGCTTATCTACACAACTCTCTCATCTCCCCTCTCCACCATCTGTTTCCGTTGCCCCTTCACCTCCCAAACACTTCAGACTCCCCTGCCCTTGGCATTTTAATGCTAAAAATCCTTGCAGTAAGGCCAACTTGCGAAACTACCCTTTGCCGACTTACGTGCATGTATCTGTGTTAACCACTTCTACAGAAAATACTACAAAAAAAAATTGGAGGAACTTTGATTGTGTGTGCAGAAAGCTAACGTTATTGGGAACAAGAAAAAAAAAAGAATAATAAGGAATAAAAAAATGACACCTTTTAATAATGCAGGCTCAAATTATAACTACCTTTATTTTTTAACAAAATTAAAAAAAAAGTTACATAAATGTTGTGGAAATAAAGTAAAATGGTACCAGTGAATGGCACATGTATAAGCCTACAATCGTATAGTATTTAATCAGCAAAATGTACGATAAATCCTAAGATACAAGGCCCCACATATTTCATGAAAGCATCAATGATCCAACATTAGGGATTTTGCATTTCTGGCATAAAACGTGCCAAGGCAGTTTAGTTTAAAATAAAAAAATAGGCCATGTGTTGTACATTTCCAAGAAAAATTACTGCAGGTGTTTACGGTTTTACCTATTTGTAACAACCGACAGAACTGGATACAAAAGAAAGAGCAGCCTAAACATAGCATTTCACCACGCTTAATTTCTAAAGTGTTTCTGTACAATAAAGAAAAAAAATATTAATAAAAAAGTGGCATCGCTTATTGCGGAAAAGGGGCGAAATATTTATAGGGTATACCTTTTTGGCAAATCAAAATACCCACCTCGTCACACGTGGTCAATTTTAAATAAAACCACCCAGGAATTGATCCTCTTGTGATTTTCACATTGATGAGTAAGTTTTTTTGGCTTCAAGCATTCTCCGATACATCGTTTGTATATGTCTTCTTGATATACCCGATTAATCTTGTTTGTTGGTTAAAGAACCTTTGAACTTTGTTTATGTGCATTGTTTGTGAAGTGGGACTATGTAGGGGAACAGCGCAAAGATAATTGGTTTTCTTTTGTTTTCTTTTTAAGAATCGGAAAGTGTTTGGGGATGCAGTCATATGTATCTGTGTGTTCTTGTCGGCACCCTGTTGACAAAAAGGTGTAAACGTTCCGAGGTCCTTGATTGACGGCATCCTTTGTCTCGTAGCCTTCATCAGGAGGGTGGCAACAGGCTCGTTTTAACAATCCGACTTTGGAGCCTCGCTATTGCTTCTTTTTTTCTTTTTTCGGTGTGTTACGTAACGTAACATTTTCAAAATGGTTTATTGAGAAGATTTTTCTAATGGGAGTGAAATGAAAATGGAATGTGTATTCGTGCTTTAATTAGACACTGCATACTTGATGCAGAGGCCAAATTAGTGTGCACTACGTTTTTAAGTTGCTTTCGTACGGGCCATCGATTGGCCGTGCACGAAGTGCAGACGTGCGGAGGGCGTCCCGAGAAAATGGGTTTTCGCTTTAGAACTGCGAGCGGTGGAATTAACTACGGGAAAAATGGGGCAGCATTAGATGAATGTCCATAAAATCACGTTACAGTCATGGCCCGATAACTTTAGTTTACTGGCCGTTGCACGTGGTCCCTTAATTTCTTTCGAAACCAACGATTCTGGAGAACGCTTTAAACTATGGCCGCTTTCCTGAGTCAAATCTTGATAGAAAATAAGTTCCCAAAAGGTTACCGTTTGCTAATTTCGTGTGTACTGTGCTCATTTTTTGCGACCCATTTCAAGTTTGTGGACGTCGCACAAACAAAACCATTACTGCGACATCATTTATGTATTCATCTATAGATAGGGTCCCGTGGTTTCGGATAAATCCGAAAAACTCTGTTCCGATTTATCCGAAAAACTGAATTTTGAGGTCACAGTGACAAAATAAAGTGCAAATAAGACGGTGCTTTACAAGTAAGCTTTATAAGAGCACAGGGTCCTGAGAGATGCCACTTCAGTTTCTTTTGAAATGTTCCTTAAGGAAAAAGAGATTATGGTACCCGGACTTTATTTCTTTTGTCTTTGAAATCTTAAAATATAAAAGCAGTGTAGACTAACTCGGAATTAAAAAAAAATTGGCAGTCTAACAAAACACAATTTCGATAAACCCCGAATTTTTTCAGCGAAAAATAAACTAAAGAAAAAAACACTTTGAATTTCACCAGAAATGAACTCTGAAAACACGGAATCCTATTTATAAACACTGCTGAGTTTCTTTTGGTGGTTGTGGCTGGAGGAGTAATACGAGGTGATGCGCATGCTCTTATATGTCGGACAAAAACAGGGACAAAAAGCCAAACCGATAACAGAACAGAAGAACATGTGGGGCAGTCTACTTGGAAGAGTTCTACAAGTGGGGCCACAACTTAACTTGAAACGGCATTGCGGCAGTCACAACAACAAAATTAAATCTATATTTTACTCGCCTTGACGCGAGTGCTTACTCTGTAGGGAAGAGGGTGCATAATTCCTTCTTGCATCGAGCAAACTACTGTGAAATCCCGTAAGGGCGCCACCAGAAATGGTGAGATAAATGGTGAAAAACCCGAGGTGGGGCTATCTTCAGGGATGAGACAGCAAAACTTTATCAAAAATTAACGATAAACAAAAGGGTTGCCCGCTACAAACCACGGAACACGGTAACTAATACTGTCGGGGACACAGCAAGGTACCATTTCAAAACGCAACAAACACGTCGCTATTCAGTATGAATTCCTGTGTCATGGGAAAGAGTACTGTACACTACGTATGGAGTGGATTCATGTTTGACGGTGCGATAAACACGCAGAAACCAGCTGAACTTGCGTACCATGGGAACCGATATTGCGCACGCAGATAGTGAAAAAGAAAGACGTGTGAACCCACTCCGAACCCACTTGTCATACTTACTGGCACCGCAGATCGTGCGGTTCGTGTGATTCCTGTCAGACGTAGGGTTATATTCGACAAAAAGGGGGGGTGAGCGTCGTTTCGGAATTTTTATATTACGAATACTTAGACAGGTGGATCCCAAACAAAGTAATTGTGCTTCCGGTAGCGCTTCAAAAGATTTCCGTGTGGTCAAAACGAATCCTCTGCCCAGGCGTCCCAGATGCCCCTGGTTGGTTTGGCACGTCTCCAATGAGAATGGCAGAGAAAGTTTGGTGTGAGCTTGGTACTTTGGGCGTCTGGCGAGCCTAGAGAGTGCAGCCAAGGCAGGACGCGTTGGAGGTGTCAGGGATCATAGGGAGCCACAAACACCTAGACAGCCAGTTGGCAGCACCGTTTATGCCACATAGTGAAGTGCTGCCCACTCCGTCCTGTTCTAATGCTCGTCTTGGCCTCTTCTGCGCCTTCCCACGACCGTGTCTCTCCATCTAGCTCCGGAGTACCTTGACATTTGATTCCGGCCCACGTCCGGCGTTGCTCTGGACGTGTTTTGCGCATCCCGTGGCAGTTGCTCAGTGCTCGGGCTCAGTCGTGTGTCCCACAGTCGTGAGAGGCAACGGCAGTGGCATACCTCATTGTTTTTCGTTCGTCTGTGCCGGAAGATGCCCCTACGAAACGTTTGTGTGTTCAACGGTTCTGAAATCGCTACAGGATGACATTCACTAGTGCGTGTAATTGGTGAAGTCTATGTGAGAAGTATTTTTCGCTCCTCTTATTATGAGATTGCTCTTTGCTCGCAGGCGGATTGGGTAGACATGCTGGGATTGAGATAATTGCGGCGGTTTTTGCCCGCTCGTGTAGAGGATCTCTGTTCTCAATTTCTTAGTCTCGTGTCAAAAGGAGTTAGCATTGAGTGTGGTCCCGGACGTTTAGTATAGCGCTCGGGTAAGCCGCCACTCATTAGAAACAAAACTTGCAACCTATGCCAGTTTGGCCACGTTCCATTCGAAACGCTTCTGCTAGGAGCCGCACCGTGACGCCACTGTCTGGTATGGAATTGAGCGACCATTTGCGAGGTCCTTGCCGCCAATGCCGACGGGAGCCTCTTGCGGGTACTTGCAGAAAAGGTAGAGCGCCAGTACCAGGAGCTGAAGGGTGCGGGCGGACAGCTGCTGCTGGTAGAGCTGCAGAAGGGGGCGGCGGGCAGCGGCCTGGGCCTCTCGCTGGCCGGAAACAAGAACCGCAGCCGCATGAGTGTCTTCGTCTGCGGCATTCACCCCCGGGGACAGGCCGCGAGAGACGGCCGCATACGCATCGCCGACGAGGTGCTCGAGGTGAGGACCGACGTCTGTGGACGTTGCCAAGCACTGTTGGACGTTTTGTTTGATGGTGTCGGTAAACACTCCGAAGTGTTATCAGAAATTTTTGGGAGTAAATTATTACATTAGTAATAACATTGTTCTTTTCTTTTTTTTTTTTCTTCAACAGATTATATGATATAACAGATTATAAGAAGTCATAATTGAGCAGTAGTGTGAATGTGCAAAATAGGTAAGCAAAGCTACTACGCCACGCTGTGAGACGTTGGAAACCTCGAGTGAAGTTAGTGTCCATGAAAAGTTGAAGTGGTTGGAGGTAGACGTCGGTATCTGGATCTTTCCTTGGTGTGTTCCACGCTGATGAGCTCCGGCATTTGATTAAAAATAGCTTAGGAAGGACGGACCGAAATGTTTCCAAACGTCTGAACACTGCGGGTGCGGTGCGCAGGTGAATGGGGTGGTGATGTACGGGCGCTGCCACCTGAATGCCTCGGCCATTATCAAGAGCCTTCCGGGCCCCAACTACAAGTTCGTCCTGCACAGGTGCCGCACCCCTCTCTCCTCCGCGGCGTTGCCACCTGCACGCCCATCCATCTGTTCTGCTCGACTCCTAGGGGCCTTTTCACGCGTTGAGACACGCATGCCCGTTTCGCAGGAGGGAAGATGCGGTCGAAGACATGGCGGTGAAGCCCCTCACGCAGTACCCCATGCAACTGGACGAACAGGTGAGCTCTGTTCGGCGACGGTGGTCAAGAGGAGCACGCAATAACTTGCACGTCGGAATTCGGGCCACTGGGCAGTCGACCACATTCGTTCGCTCTACCGATCTCTAGTGCCCGCTTAGCCGTGTTGGTAGAGTTCTCCCATCTTGAGGGAATCCAAGCCCGAACCGAGGCGATATTTTTCGGCGGTCGCACCATTTGGGTTGCGATCCAACTTAATTAGAAACATTCGTTAATAATTTCAGACACTGCGACTTCCAACGGACACGGAAGGAGGTGCGAACGAAACTGGCCCGACCGCGTCGGCATGCTCACTTTGACTTAAGTGATTTATTTAGAACTCGTTACAGTCAAATAAGACATGGTTCACTACGGCTCCTAGGACGCCCACTCGAAATAAATAACGGGGTACGCTCGCGCCTCCTTGTGGTGATTTCTTCCGAGTGTTAAGGCGAACTCTTTGCTGTTTGTTGTACCGAGTCGACACTTCTTTCTCTCAACAGACTCCGGAGGAGAGGTATTCGAGCTACCGGGGCGTGCGGACTGTGACCGTCAAAAAGGTACACTTTAAATATAATTACTCAAAAAGCATATTAAAAAAAAAATTCTTTATTTAGGAATTGAAGAGAACTTGCATCTTAAAAACTGCAGCATAAGGAAGTAGTGCAACATTTCTAGAAGAAAGCTTGCAGATTCACGAAACTGCTAAAGCGTCCTTGCTCTCTCAAAGTGTCCCTTGCTCCAGGTGCGTGAGCGCCCGTGCAGTCCGGCAGCTTGAGTGCTTATTGTGGACCAGCACCCTCTTTAAATTGCCTCAGAAAGTTATCCCGGATTTTCCTTACAGATGTCATTCAAAGTTTACCTAATGGCCTGTTCAGACACTTGCGACTTTTTAAGACCGAGTGCCATGAAACCTCTTAAAATCTCTTACGCCCAGAAGATGCACTGGTGCTATCTGTGGGGTAGCAGTGGAAACTTGGCGGTCCCGCATATTTTCTATTTCTCTCGCGCTTCATCTTTTTTTTCTTGGATCGAAAAACTTTGGTCAATGTTATAAACGAGCCTTTCTCTTAGGTATTAGCACATTTGACCTCGGAAATCCTACAAAGCCTTGTGAAGTGCATTTACAGGGTTACCCCATAGATGGCTCCAGTGTGCTCTCTCGTCCTAGGAAATTTTAAGAGGTTTCAAGGCACTCAGTTTTAAGGAGTTGCAAGTCTGATTGGACCGTAATCTTCGGTGGGGATCGGTGGCCGGATGTGCCAGTGCTCGGCAGCTTAGAGCATGCGGGTTTCGATGCCCACGCCCATCCGACCCGGACGAGCATCGTACCGGCGTGCAGTCCCGTCTCACTACTGCGTCGCGAAAGTTAAAGACCACATGCTGGCAGCGGCACTGCACAAAGTTCTCATCTACTCGAATACACCCGACGCCCACAGGGGCAGACTTGTTGCCTTCCAAACGGACGCGATGCACTCGACCTGGACGAGCGTTGTACCATCTCGCAACAGTGCAGCTCTGCCGCCTTAAATGCGTAACGGCCTTACAATTTCTCGACGGTATTGCGGGAGCGTCGACTGGCAGTCCGGTCGGCACCATATAGAGGAGCGCCCAGCCGATTTCTGCAGATTCGAAATGTTCAGAAAGTAATTGAAGCGTTTCCCTACATATAAGGTCGGAAGGGGCAGGGTGCAGCAAAAAGGCGGGACACGAGCCGCTCAGTTTGGTGGCCGTGTGAAGGTTTTTCTTGATGCTCCTTCGTAATGTTACGCTCGTATCGAGGAAACCATCTCCGCGTTGAAAGCTCTTGGCATTATCGAGATGTCTACCAAGCTGGAAAAACCGAGATTGTTGAAGCATCCAGAAAAGTCTGGGAATTAATTAGAAAATTGTTTAGCTAGGGGAAAATTACGGATTGCGTGGTGCATTGGCATGAAACGAAAGGGAGGGTGTGGTGGCGCGGACAGCCCTTGCAATGAGTAACAGTTGCATGAGGCATCACCGGGCGGCATTGGACACCGCCCGATTCGCCGGAACGCTAACAGCCTGAACAACGGCCGCAACCCTATTCTCCGCATTTTCTTCTCACGCAATAATTGGCTAATTTAGTCTAAGATATTCGGGCGAAACGTGGAAAAGTCTTGGAATTTGAGAGAAGCTATTCGGTAGGCACGCTGTCGTAATGACGAGCCAAAGGAGCCGACGAAAAAGACCCATTTATTTGGGAGACCATACCAAGTATATGTGGACCGTTCAAATAGTATTCGACCCGAATTATTTCGGCAGAAACAGATGAACCGTGGGGGAATTTTGTGAAGGCGCCCACGTGGAGAGCCGGGTGCGCCTTCACAAATGTTTTCACGTCCACAGTGAGCGTCCGTCGCCGTAGGTCAGCTTGCGGGTGAGGGAGTGTTTTGAGCGTTTGTTTGATTTCATCTTTTGGGAAATGACGGAAAGACTCGAGCAAAGTTATCGCATCAAATTTTGCGTCCAGCTCAGTGATACTCGAGTGGAAACCTTTCTGGAGATTCAGCAGGCTTTAAGCGACGATTTCGCGGGAATTACGCAAACTTGGGAGTGGTACAAACAGTTCAAAGATGGCCGCACAGTGATATACAGCAACTCACATTCCAGGAAGTCCTCAACCAACCGGTACGACGGTGTCTGACAGAGTGCGAACTTTGGTCGTGCAAGACAGTCTTTGCACTCTTCGAGTACTTGCAGATAGGGTGGGAATAAGTGCCGGCTCAGTATATTCCATTTCGAGCGAGGATTTGGCCTTGCTGAGAGTGTCCATGAAATTCTTGCCAAAATTGCTAATGACTGAGCAAAAAGAACTCGGTCGGCAGGTCTCTCAGGATATGCTGGACAGCGCAAATGGCGACCCTAATTTCCTGAACACCGTCTTTACGACTGATGAGTCGAGGGTACCACCCATAAATTAAGGCACAGTCGTCATAGTAAAAGCATTCAACGTCGGCAAACAAAGCACTGCAGGTGCGCAGCAATGGGATGTTGTTCCTTACTCCCATTGGGAGGTGCACCACGAGTATGTGCCACAAGGGCAAAACGTCACGGAAGAGTACTACCCAGAGGTGCTCTGTCGTCTTAGTAATGCTGCGCGGCGCAAGAGGGACAGCTGCACCAGCTCATTCCTCCTATCTGGTTCAGAGTTTCTTGGCAAAACACAGCACCACTGTGTTCTATCAGGCTCCTTTTGACGTGGCTCCTTGTGATTTCTGGTTCTTCCTTGAGCCGAAAATGCCGCCGAAAGGAGCCCGTTACAAGGCGCGAGGAAATATATTATGCTGAACGCCGTTGCAAAAACGGCTTTCCAGGACCGCCGGGAGATTTGCGTGCGGTCTCAAGGAAAGTACTTTGAAGGGGATTAGGGTTTCTGACCTCTGGGTGAATGAACATATTTCTTTTGGCGTCGGACGCGTTTCGCCCTCGTACATACATAAACGAGGAGACCTGGTTGTCGGCCGAGGGACCGAAGTCAAAACTAGACGAGGCGGCATAATTGGTGTGAGAGGCGAGACCCGTCTGTACCGACGGCGTACTGAGCGCCGTGTCCTCTGGGCGTGCAGGGCTCTCACGGCCTGGGCATCATGATCCTGGAGGGCCGGCATGCGGAGGCCGGCCAAGGCATCTTTGTGTCGGACATCCAGGAGGGCAGCCCGGCCCACAAGGCCGGCCTCGGCGTGGGGGACATGATCCTGGCCGTGAACGGGGTCGACCTCGTCGGAGCAGACTACGACACGGTGGGGGAGCCGCCCCCGGGGCCGTTCTCTCGGCCATTGGGCCGCTCGTGATGCGAGACTGCTTTGTGCAATGGCAGTGTGCGTGAGAAGGAGGGGAAAAACGTCCTTTTTTTTTTGCATGGGACAACCATGACTTCTGGTGTCCGCTGCGCACAGTGTTGGGAAAGCATGCCACATGCTTTCCCCCCACGACATCACGTGACGCTATCGCGTTATAGTGTAACGTTGAGTACGGTTGTCGCAGGCGACCTAAAGATTGCCACGCAGCCTGGAATGTACCAAAGAGATGAGCAGTTTCTCGTTCCTTCCTTTCTACGCGCAATGCCGCTTAATCTCGGAAATGTTTCTGGAAGCGAGATGGAAGCCTCGTCCCGGCTTTCCCGACAAAATTGAACCGCCGGACGGTGCAACTTGCAATTTTTGGTGCATACAAAGCGACCTTGTCGTTAGACAACGTGGCCCTGCCGGGCGTTGCAGGCGGCTCAGCTGCTGAAGCAGTCAGAGGGGGTGCTGACAGTGGTGGTGGCCAGGCCGGTTGGCAACCTCGTGCCCCTGCTGAAGAAGAAGGCGGCCTCCATCGAGACCCAGGAGCCCTCTCGGACGCTGGGCTCCAATCGCAAGAGTGAGTCGTCCTCTTTCGAGCGTGCACGTTGTCGCATCGGTCGGCCGAGTCGCTTTCTAAACTCGCTTTGCCCGCAATAACGGAGGCTTTGTTCCTTTTGTCCCCCGCGCGCATACTTTCTTTTGTTGCCGAGCCTACCGAGCTTGCCACGAAGGGACGACGCGTATTCAGACAACACTTTTCTTTTGCTATGGGAATTGGATTTCAAGTGTGATTGGTTTCTCTTTGTTATTCTCCAGGCAATTGCCCGAAGAATGAGCATGTTAGCGTTGAGGAAGTGGCATTTCGGCCGAGAACCACTAATGCCTTTTCAAGCTAAAGCTTGGAGAAAGCATTCTTTTCTTTCCGTTTCTGGAATTCTCATTCTGTGAATGCTTTAATGAAGTTGTTCAAACGTTTTGGAATGGGCAATAGGGTATGATTTGAGGTTCCAAGAAACCAAAGAAACGGCCATGCTTGTGCACCTCGTGGTAGAGCAAAATTGTGGTAGTACACGGCTGTCATTCCATTGTTCCCAAACTTTTCATCTAACAATAGATGCATTTCCAGGGTCTCATTTTGTTACGTGTCTTTGCGGTTGACTTTAAAAGCCACGACAAACAAGGTCTGTCTTGTGAAAACACTTATTGTGGGACTAAACCAACGAAAAAAAAATGTTTCACGCGTACGGACTTGTTCGTTAAAAAAGAGCAGAGTGAGAGGAAGTGCAGTTCCCAGCGACAAACTCGAGTGGCCACGGGCGTTTCCTTCGCCTGACGAGCGCTCTTTGTCTGCCGGCATATGTGCTGCCCCCCGGCGGGGAACCCCAGAGCTCGGGACAATCCGCTGGCTCCACGACCTTCTTCGCTGGAGGTCGACAGACGATGGCCAGGCCTACCTCTGAGCGGACGCCTCGCTCTCTCGCACACTTGTCTCACCACCGTGTCAAAGGAGGAGAATCGCCTTTTCGACGCTCGAAGCCGTCTGTTCCGTGCTGGACAGTTCGAACGACGGCCAGTCGACTCAATGCGACCTCCGCAAGTGCTAATACGACCGAGGCGGTCCTAAGCAAACGGGGAGAGCTGTCGAATGGCGAAGCTCTTCCGTCGACCCGGCTCACTTACGTCTCGTAACGGTCATCCAGCACCGCGACAGTCAGACCGACACTCATCGTGCCACACACTTATCGTACCGCACAGTAACGACGTCGACAATCAGTTGTGACAATCTCGCGTCGCGCAGCCGCGAAAGCAGACGCTCGGCAAATGTTAGTTCAGACCGGCGACGAGTGTGTGTAGCGAGCGTCTGCACTCGCTCGTCTCGGTGTCCAAACCCAGCGCCCGGGTGCGCCTCGTTGGCTCGAGGTGGCTTTCAGGGGGTTAGAGTAGCGGCGTAGGGGCTTGTCCGAAAGCACCCGCCTTTGTGTGTGACGTGCGTCTTTGTGACGTGTCTTGGCAAGAGAGTTGTGCAACACGCCGCCCTTGGTGTCACCCCTTTCTCTCCCTTTCTCTCTCTCTCTCTCTCTTTCTCTTGTCTTGCCGCGGAACGCATGCGGACGGCTGAAACGCTCTTGCCTGCCGCATGCTTGGCGCCAACTGCCTCTGCTGGCTGCATGCACTTCTGTCGTTGGCCAAAACATCCCGTGAGTACACTGTGCCACGACATAAGTAGCGTTGCCTTCTGTGCGGGGCATGAGAACTTTGCTCGGGGGTGTGCTTCGCCGAGAAGTTTGTGCTCTTTGGCCCCTTCTATCTGTCATTCTCTTCCGAATCGCCAGAGACGTAACAAATGCCAAGATCAGGAGAGAGTTGGCAGGCAGTACAGTTAGTCTGGGACAAGTTGTCATTGCTATGGATGTGTGCTTCCTACCATTAATATATTCTGGATTTTAAAAGCATCAAATGCAGGTCTCTCTTAACTGTTTTCCAATTGTCCAACCTTAAAAAAAAAAGAAAAAAAAAATGTAGCACCGAGAGAGCTTTTAATTTGACATCCGAGCGAGTTTCAAAGTTTAATCTTGCAGTCAAACGTGAGCTATCTCGGACACTGCCAGTCAAGTTCTAATCTAGGCAGATGCCCCCACAATTTTGATGGGAAGTGAACGAATCCTACCGACGGTGGAGGATTGGGTGCCCGGAACTGGTCTCCGGCCAGTGCGTTGGCCGCATCCCAAGAAAAGGTCCTTCCCGACGCGCAAGTGTCGTCGCCGACCCAGTCGAACCGGCAGCTGACAAGTGTTGCGGATACGGACACATAACACGCCGGAGGCCCGTTCCAGGCACCCTAGTTTGGGTGGCTCTTGAGCGGCGGTCTTCCCTGACGCCACGTGTGTGCGTCCAGGCACGGCCATTTCCCTGCCCCACTGCCCGCCTAAATGCGGCGGTTCTTCTCCGGACGGCCGACTGCCGTCCCCGCTGCTCTCGCCCGCGCGCCCCGACGCACCGACGCCGCGCACTCCAGACGCCAAGCAAGACGGCGGCGCCCTTGCAGCGGGCACCCCCACGTCCTCCCCGGCCTCGGACGTCATCCGGCCCGGGCGGGAGACGGCCATCGAGATCGCCAAGGAGAAGCTCGGTCTCGGGCTCAGCATCGTCGGAGGGTCGGACACACCCCTGGTGAGCTCGCCTTTTCCTCGGGACTGGGACGGCCATTGCCGTGCGGCGTAGAACCGGCTGCCATTTGTGCCTCCTGTATCGGTCTCGCCTCGTGATGATGTTGCGGCAGCCAGGCTGGATTAGGTCTCTGACATTCGGTGTGCGGCTAAAGTCCACAGAGCTGCTGCCCCCGTAGACTTTAGGTTTCACGAGGGATGTCTCGCTGCTCCTCGCTCATGCAGCTACAATCAAACGCCTTTGTAACCAACACCCCTACTACAAAAATGACCGTTTAACGAAGTAAAATAAAGTCCCGGCCAATCTTTTATATGTTCAATGCGTTTCTCTGATTAGTACGGCCAATTCCTGTTTCACGAAAGTTTCTGTTAACAAAGCAGTTTTGCAGTTCCACGAGGCAAAAATGACCTTCATAACGAGTTTTTCGCCAAAAGTAATCGATTTCACATAAAATTGTTTCTCTTCAGTGTGACGCGTAGAGAAAATAAATGCTGCGGCAGTGGCGATAGTTCAAACTGCCTCCGCCGCCGCTGTGCCTTGCATTCTCGGCTTGGGTCCATATGATTTGTTAGTGTGCAACCTTGCATCTAGACGGCGCTACTTTGCTGCATAGAAAGCATGTACGCAGCAACATAGTCACATAGCAGTACCTAAACACAAGGTTGCACACTAACAAATTATTTGGACCCAACATTGATAACGCTAATAATAACATGGCGGCAGCAACGGAAGCAGTGTGACGGAGACTGCACTGTGCCTCCGCCCGTGCGCTGGTGCATACTTTCGTTTTGCTCATGCCATTGAATGGGTGCCACTCGCTACAAGATTAGCTTTTTTCAATGCTCCGTCCAGGCTTTGCTCGCACTCATTTTCTTATTTTGAAACAACAAGGTAGAGGGGCTTAGAGGGGTAAACTGGTATCCCGTACACTAGGCAAAAGTGACTTCCACCTGGCTGCCACCATGTTGTACAATGTTGACCAGTAGACATGTGATTGTACCAGATCCTGAGGCTTTTACACACAACCGAGCCGAAATTTGTATTGCGATCACTGTAAAAAAAATTATAAACTACTTTTTCAATACTGTTATCCCCCACAGATCAGTGTCTAGCATCTAGCGGAGGCATTGCAATTTGAGACGTCGTCCTGTTCTTTTCTGTTCCATTCACTTATATGTTCATTTCTGCCCCGGTCTCAGGTTTATTCAACATAATTAACATTCACCAGTTCGCCTGCACCCTTACTATATTATAATTGCGAAGCTGCCCGAGTTTTTGTCGTTAAAGGACATTTTGAACTTAAAACAAACGAAACATAACTTATCTCATCGGTACTGGTAATAAAGATCAATAAGCAATTATTTGTGCACGGTACTTCGTTAAAATCTAGACGTAAAACTATAAGGTCACGTGTCTAGCGGTCAGAAATGTGCAACATGGCGGCGGCCAATTGGGAGTCACTTTCAGCTGCGAGTTTATCGGTTTAAGCACCTCTACCTCGTTTTGGAGGTATGACAGTGCATTTGAAGGGATCCATATGTATATATAAAAAAAAGCATTTTCATTGGCCGTCGCAAATCTTTTATGCTGTCTTGGCATCTGTTCAACCGACGCGCCTATCTTCATCGGGATCAAAGATTCCAAATCTTTCTTCATTGGAGTCTCAAATTATTCTGCCATGGAGCGATATAATGGAGTCGAGGAAACGACCATCGACTCTACCCATGAGGGCAAAATTTAAGCAAAATCGGTAGAGTAGCACAGAAAGAGAAACCCTTTTTGTGCCCAAGAGGAACCACTTCAAGAGATCCTCCAAATGACACGTGGTGGCCCGATTTATGAAAGGCCAAACTTACACAATCGGCGAATGCCTTCGCTGCGTGATCGGTGGTCGAAGTCGGTGGTTTAATGATTGTTGCGATTCGTATTTTGATAAGTTAATTAATGTTGTTGTGTTTGGAGAGCGGAAAATTAGTCTGCAACGAGGAGCACCTGGTGTCTCGGCTGTGCATAGATGACTAACTTTGCAAGTGGCTGTACTGGCGGTACGACCACCAGCCTGGTGTCTTTAACTTACGTCACTCAAGGGTCAGTACGCATATAATAAAATTTTTTATTTAGAAAAAAAAAAAAAGGCAATTGAACTTAAGAAGCCTGGATTCTGCAGTGCATGCTTTCAGCCCACCTGATCCGAACTGCGAAGCGCTAGGGCGCTCGGCCATCTTTCCTTTTTTTGATAAGTCAATTGTCAACGTAGAAAACCTTGTTTCGATGTCGCCCTTATTATTTTTAGTGCTAGTACTGTTTCCTAAAGCACCGCGGTTACATCAATATGTGACAGCATAAAATTCCATTTCGCACGATCTATTTCTTGCGCTCAACTACTACAACAAACCTACCTGTACTATGAATACTTTCGCCGGTCTCGCAGATTGGGTTATAAGGGCTATTGACTGCAGTTTTGTAGGCCGTCTAGCAGCAAGCTCTCCCACTCTTCGGTGAGTGAGCCAATCACATCCTCTCTTACCCAAAAGCTGATGGCAACTACGTCGAACAAGGCACAGGACAGTGCCTTGTATTGGGCATTCAATTTCTTTGCTAGTGGAGGCCGGTGCAGGAAGCGCACAGATGAAACAAACCTAATGTTTATTGTTTTCTTTGCCGGTGTACATTTCAGCTGCTTTAAACAGTACTTAGTCATTGGTGCTAGATTCACTAAATGGAAATTTGATGGAGCATCCACTTTTAGGTGATGGGCAAGGAGCATAGTTTGTGTGATGGGACCGCAGGGAATGCCCTCGAGCGACACGAGGTCACTCTGTGCCTTGCCCCAACTTGTGGTTTGCATTTGCAGGGTGCGGTGATCATCCACGAAGTTTACCCAGACGGCGCAGCTGCTCTGGATGGTCGTCTCAGACCGGGTGACCAGATCCTCGAGGTCAGTCAGCCGTGCTCTCCTTCTTTGAGAACTGGTACTCTTCGATCCCCAGTGTGCCTCATTTAGCCAGATGATACATTTTTTTCTATAGGATTGCACAAATATTCAGATAGTAGTAATATTGAATAGTACACTGTTTGACATTTGCTTTGCGGAACATTCGTTTCTTATATCTTTCTGCATGATCATAATCTAAACATCACGTGCACCCTACTTCCAACCATGAAGGGTTACTACCTTTATTTCTTCGCACTAATTAGAACCATATAGTACCTATGATTAAAACTGTTTCTCGCTATCACCGCTAGGGTTTCTTTTCGGCTTCTGCCCAGGCGAAAATTTTCAACTGGGACCAGTTGGTCCCAGTTGCAACTGGTTTATGGAACAATTCCCAGTTACAACTGGTCCCAGTTGAAGTCGTCCAACTGGGACCAGTTGGTCCCAGTTGCAACTGGTTTACGGAACAATTCCCAGTTGCAACTGGTCCCAGTTGGAGTTGGTCCCAGCTGGAATTGGTCCCAGTTGGAGTTGGTACCAACTCCAGCAACAATGAAACACGGCACAAAATGGAAGGTTGACAAGAATTTATTGTCAAAAACTTGGAGAATGGAACTAAATAGGTTCGGTGACGTACACGCTCCGGGTTTAGCCACTTGCTTGCGACGGTTGAATCGCTTTTTCAGAGGTGGTATTCATTAGATGAAGGAAGATCGGCCGCTGGCGTCTGTTAGTGAAGACGTCCTCAGCTTCTCTTCCCATCGCGTGAAGAAAGGTGCTCACCCGTGATCCTGCGTTGCGCAGGTGAAGTCCTGATAAGATGCGGTAGCGCTCCCACCTTGCAATCTCTGTCACAACAGTCGAACATTTTCGAGGTAGACCTCCCGCCATTTTCGCCATTGTGCTCTCCGCGGCGTGTTCTCTTCCGTCCGGTCTTTCCTGGGTGCCCTCCGATCGTTGAACTGCATCTTTCCATCCTCGAAGTTCACCGCCGCCACCATGGTGTGTGTACAGTTAGGTCCAAAGAAGCGCAGCTGTAGTTTTGACATTTTCATAACGACGCCAACTTGGGCGATGGCGACATGGCGACCCGGCGACCCTTCTCTACCGCGTCCGTCCGACTCCGGCGTCAGCATAGGCAGCGCCATCTGTCGACAGCGCGTACCACTAATCCGCACCCGCGTGCCACGGCGGCCGGCTAGCTCTGATTAGTCAAAAGATAAATTTATTTATTAAAAGAAAAAAAAATACTGTAGGTATTAAAATAAATGTTTTAATATATTTTAATAATGCACTAAAAGTTCATTTAGGTGAACACATTTTGTCACTAATTATATTTTCTAATTAAAAAATTATTTGGTTAAAATTTTTATATTATTTTTATAAATATATAAATGTACCCCAGTAATAAAAAATTCCCTATTTGTATAAATCTAAAAATGTTAGTGTTTTTAGTTTTCTTCATTAGCAAAGGTCAATACACCCCCAACTTGTCCAAATTGTTGCCCAGTGTGAACTGGGAATGGGAAAGGCATTTGAAGTCCGACTGGGAATCGCTCCAACCAGTAACTTTCCTAACTGGTTCCAGTGCACTCCATTCCCAACTGGGAGTCAAACCAGTTGACTCCCAACTGGGAATGGTTCAAACCAGTTGACCCCTCAGCTGGCCCCAGTTGGACTCCTATTGGTCCCAGTTGATTCCCAGTTGGGACCAGTTAGTCCCAGTTGCTTCCCAGTTGGGACCAGTTAGTCCCAGTTGAAACCAGTTGAGGTGCCAACTGGTTCCAGTTAGAAATTTTCGCCTGGGTGGTTGGTCGAGAGAGCATGTCAAGTCCTTTTTCCGAGTCTAGCGCATGTCCTGGTTCTGCCTGTGCCTCCCATTGACCAAATTCCCTCTATACACGGCTCTGGGTTAGCCCCATTAAGTGTGCTTTCTGCCGAGCACCAGCGCATTGCAGAGAAGCAATACCTGCAGAGCCGACGCTGCAGTCCTGCAACTTTCGCTTTGCCGCAGTGCAGCCACATGTGTACGAGATAACAACACCTTCAAAGTAGAATAACTCTATGTTAGTGATAGATTGAATCTGCCAAACTTCAGATTCGGCAAAGTTTGGCACACGCCAGACTTTGAAGGAAAGTTCGTCAAAGATTTGACAGAAATTTGGCAAACGTTTGCGCATGCGCGAGAATGCGACGGGACCATAGATTGCAAATGGACTCCGTGCGGTTTAGTGCAGTTACCATCGTAGAGTTTAGCACTACCAGCGGTTACGGCGAGGTGCGGAATATATGGTATCTTTGTGTTTGTCAGCCTTTGCGATTGTGGTTCTCTTTGGTATATTGTGCCTCAAGAACAGAAGATCAATCAGGCAGTAACGCAGTTCACTGCGCAAGTGACAAATGATGCAGTACATTCTGGATAACGTGTTTTTCATTTGACCTTCCCAGCAATGCACGAGGTAGTTGCAACATTGACTGACAAGTACTTTAAAGCACTCCTTGCCATTATAGCAATCCTATTTTCAGCTCACAAGTGCTTTGTGCCACAGCAAAATATTATTGCTTTTTAATTAGCATTCTTTCGCGGTTTTTATCTATCCACATAAGACTAGACGCGACACACTGTCATAATCGACGTCGCACATCCGACATTCTTAACTTTTCCCATCTTCCCAAACATCTGAGTGTGTCATTAACATCAGAAGCTGGTGTTTTAAAAGTTAAAAACGAGGTGTTGCAAGTTTGGGACGCACACTTTCATTCACTACGCCGTGGGACGTTTGAGTTACTTGATGCTTTCATGCATCAAGTGACGCAAACAAAAAATTATATTCGCATATTTTTTTTAAGATATATACATATGGTGATTCACAGAGAAAGTAAGAACACAGTGTTACCACCTTTATTTTAACAATGTACGCACTTACTGGGTTTGTTGATGAGGCCTCAAAATCGAAACTCTCATATCGTGACAGTGCCTGTCATTACCCAACCTTGTTGTCACACCGCTTCTGCAAGAAGTCACCGTTAAATTGCCAGTAAGCGCACAAAAATGACGCCAATACAATTATCTTGTAGAATATCACCTTATTTAGCAACAACTTTGTCAATATGCATTTAAAAAAAAAAAAAAAAATTTTTTTCACCTGAAAAAACAAAATATCAACTTTTAAGTCCGGCAAGAATGTATTTTTGCCGAATCTCCAGATTCTGCGCCGAATTTTCGATTCGCCAAAAGTTCGGTCCATTACTGCTGTGCATGCTCCACTTGCGGAGCAGAGTACTGCAATGGTGCTCCCAGGTGGCCGTGTTGGATCCAAGGACACGCTGTGTGAAGCAACTGGCACTTAGAGATGGCGAGGCTGCGGCATGCGGAGCGGTGATGATGCCGTCGTCCCGGTCTCCTGCTCCTCTCTATGCCCTCGGTAGAACTTAGCCGAAAAAAACGTTGTCCCTTCGCAAGCCACAATGCGCGTTGTTGTCTGGTCCGAGGTGCCCGGATGTGCCGGTTTAAAACATAAAAACATGTTCTAAAACAATGCGATTATACGATACGCAGTGGCTGCCCACAATGGTCAAGGAACCTTGCAGTTCATTTGATTTCAGTGTAGAATGTATATTTCGCATGCTTGGGTAGTAATTCAATTGCTGTAATTTAATTACTTTTCTTGGTAATTTGTAATTGTAATTAATTACTTTCTTCTAAAAGGAATTGTAATTATAATTTAATTACTTTCTAGCGTCAGTAATTGTGAAATTTCAGGCACAATTACAATTACTTTTACAAGACTTTGTTGAGCCGACGGAACCTCAAGTGGCCTAGCGCTCGGTGACACACTCGCACACATAGACAAGCACGCACAAATACGCACATCAAAAATAGTATTGCGTTGTTGGTTGTTTTGTTGCTTACACTGCAGGCTGAGAGACAATCCTCTTTGGAGTCTACCTCAACGGCGCCGTGTAGCGCCGTCTTCGGTGCGAGCAAAAAACAATAGCGTGAACATGCCACAATATTGAAAAAAGAAAAATAAAAAAGTTAAGCTTTAGCTTTTAGCCGAGCTTAGAAATTTTAATTGTCTCTTTTCTTTGCCAGTTTTATGCTTTTATTTCAGTACTGTCGCATATCTGTATCTTTGTATTATTTTTAAATTTATTTCCTGTCGGTTTCACTTCGGATATTATTTGCATAAGTATTTTGGAGACTGTCCTCGCACCTGTGAACATTGCCACCAATGGTTCGGAATCCTCGATTCGGTTCTTATAGATTTCTGAGCCATTATAATTTCAACTCTATGTAAATAATTTACAATACCATGATGTTTGTATGTGAATGCAGTCGTGTTAGCGCATGTGGATTAATACTTGTAAAATATTCATATATGACTAATTGTCGCATTTTTATTTGCCGAGCCAACGAAAGTCTGTCAACCCAATTTTTTCGTTAGCCATCGGCATCTTCCAGCATGGGAACTATTTTATTATTCTTTATTAAAAGTATAAGAGCGTAGTACTTCATTGCCCCAAACTGTCAATTTCTATCATGAATTTAACAAAATTCACAAAAGGAAAGTACAATACGTGACATCTATGCAGTGATGCTTAAGCGTCCTGAAACATTGGGACAAGGAATGAACAAATACGTTGCATTCTGCACAACTCGTTTAAAGTTATTAGGCCCAAGTCGGGTCACTCTCAGAAACGGAGTAATTCTAAAGTAATTTCATTACTTTTGAAAAGTAATTTTTAATTGTAATTAATTACTTTTCACGTAGTAGTAATTGTAGTTAAGCTACTTTTAAAGCAAGGTAATTGTAATTAAATTACATTTTGAAAGTAATTGACCCACGTATGATATTTCGGAAATGCAAAGCGAGAAACATGCTCTGCCCGAAACTCGGCACCTGCAAGGTCGCTTTCCCTCCTGAAGGTTGGATCCAGCGGAGTTGGCGGCGCAAGGAAAAGGAATGCGATTCTCTGGCTCTGCAGGCAGGGCTACTTCAGAGCGGAATGGCGCAAATCTGGTGTAATTAAAGAGAACCTTTGGGAATGTTTATATTTATATTGCAATAAAACTCTCAAATTTAAATTGTGGCCTTACGCGACAGTATATGTTAAGCAGAGATGTCCCGATAACTTGCGTTCATCATTTGTGCATATTTGTTTTCTCTTAGATTCGAGGTTGTAGAAAGTAAACTTGCAGCTGCACCTATATTTACGTTTAATTTTACGTCGTATCCGTGGTTTCCTTGGCACACCAACGTAGTCTTTGGACTTCCCGATACCACAGTCCATAAATATAGTTAGAATAAGATTAGCTGAGCTTAGAAGCGGACAATTGGAAGCTTAGGAACGACCATTGCAAGTTCAGCTGGAATTTTTCTTCAAGCACGGTGTAAAAATATTCAAAGGCTCGGAGAAAGGTACAGCAACTATTCGGTATTTGATTTGAAAATATTTGTCCAAAACCACCATTCGCTTCAAAATAAAAATCAATTATTTGTATGTGCCTAATAATTTATCGTCTTAATTGGATCATTTACTAAACCGCATATATCTCGGAAAGAGGCAATGGATGTGCAAGGATGGAGTGTGGTTGGCAGGTGAACGGGGAGGACCTGCGCGAGGCAAGCCACGAGGCGGCCATCGGGGCCTTGCGGCAGACGTCCTCGGTTGTGCGCATGCTGGTCTTCCGGGAGGAGGAGCCCCAGCAGGACGTGCTCACTGTGGAGCTGCACAAGAAGGCCGGCCGGGGCCTGGGGCTCAGCATCGTCGGCCGCAGGAACGCCCCGGGGGTCTTCATCTCCGAGGCGAGTCCAAAGCTTGAGCCTCGATTGTAGAGGTCCGCCACCTTGTCGCGGATTTGCCCGCATCGTTGGTGAGGCCTTATTTGGTGCAACAAACTAACACTCCCGAGGTTCATACATGTTCTTTATTTTGTGACAGATCACCAGTGTTGTGCATTTTATCCAGAAAATGTATCTTAAAGTAATGCTAAAATTTAAAAGTTTCTTTTTAAAGGGAAGCTAGGGAGCTTTTTGGAAAAAATGAGTTAGAAGTGAATTCTAGTGTATTTTTACCCGGTGAACCCGAATACCCAAACCATTTGCTGTGTAAGTATTGTTAAACGCGAGAAAAACGCGAAAGATAGTCGCTGTCCGTGACGTCATCGACGGCTCTTTTGGCTGCCCAAGGCTAAGGGGGCGGGGCTTCAGCCCTATTTTGAAATTGCTCTTGTGGCTCTCCGGCGCGTCGCATTGAAATATAATTTCGATATCTGTTATTCTAAAGGCCAAATGAACGCAATTCAAGCGTTTTTTCTCAAATGTAGAAGTGCCCCATCTTCCCTTTAAGGGGGGACATGGGTCTTTGGAGCCAAAAACTTTCTAAAACTGCATTCTTTTGAAAATGGCGATGGCTGTTGTTCTTCGGAATCTACCAGGCTTACAATTTCGTGGGTGAATATTTGAGCTATAAATCACTTTATAATATCTATGCGGGCTGAATGAGCATTAAAGTTTACTCTAAAACATTGTTTTCACAAAACACAATTTTTAGACTCGTTGAGAATTTGCAGGAAGGATATCTCAGCATCTAGAGCAGATAGAAATATAACCGTTCCTGAAATGTGTAGCTGAATGTGTGAAGCATACAATGTTGAGAGCAGATGTTTTAATATAAGTCTAGAAAAATTTCTATTTGATCTTTTGATATATTACTTGTTAGACATGCATTGAGCACTGAACTTCAATGTGGGGTAAAATCATTAATAGTGAGTTTATCTTAAAAGTGCTTCCAACATTGTATTCTCTACACTTCGTAGTATCTAGCCATGTGTTTGAAAGAATATGTATTTTGTTGAGCAGTTTTTTTTCTATCGTTTTTCCAAACAAAGGCAGGCAAGTTTTAATTATTTTGAGGACAATGCTACTGGCTGAGGAAATCACCAGATATATGAAATCAGCACAAAAAGCTGAACAAGCTTGTGCAGTTTCATTAAGTTTGGTCATAAGATAAGAAAAAAAAGCTCCAAGACCAGTGTTCCCCCTTAAAGGGAATAGATAGGACACTTCTTTTTTTTTTAGTAACTTTTTTCAAAAAAAAAAAAGTTACATGCAATTTTTGCGCGGTTAGACGCAATTTAGGCGGACGCCACGGTCCATTCTAAGCCCCGCCCACAGATCAGTGGCCCCGCCCATTGCTACTGGATTGACCTTGCTGCTCGGCCGAACATGCTTGCAAGCCTTGCGCCTTCTTTTCACGACATCTGGTGCGTCTAGTCTGGCATCTGACACCGTCTGCTATGCCCAGATGTGGATATGAAAGCTGCGAGTCGGCGCCTGTTTTCACCTTTATCCGTCTGCTATTCCACCCTCGTCTAAAAATGCGCCAAGTTGTCGAAATAGGCCGACTATACCGGTCGAATTGAGGCGCAACCAACAGCGCAGTCAAGGCTACGGCGTTGGCGTAGCTTACGTTAATCTAAACGTCGTCACCATTGCCCCTTTTTGTTTTACTTCTCCGGGCAAGTGTAACGGGTGACATCAGCAACGTTCCTCTCGGCGCTCAGCGATGTCCACATGATTGGCGTAACGTGCCTGCTCAGCGCACTTCTTGGGAGTCGTCCGGTTGTCCCGCCGTCCTCATCTCGCCACTTGTAATTATAGTCTCACAGTTTCGTTCACACTATGTGCGCAGACCTATGCCGCAGTTGTGCAGACGTTGTCGAATGTCGTAGACAGCAGAACGTTGTGAAGAGTGCGGTGCCGACGACACTTGTGCCTGGCACACGTGCGCCCCAACGGTGGCCCGCCGGCCCGCCCAGATCCCGCCCATCGTTTTGTGGAAGATAACGTGACATTCATTTATGCGATAGCCACGATTTTGGCTGCCCCAGGCCACTTGCCAGACAGAGCCCGAGTTTCGGTTTCTGCTCATGGTTGAAGTAAGATTTAACAATATATGTCCTTTTTCTTGCGAAGGAAATGACGTAACGACTTTTATTAGTGCTTTTTAATGTGAAATCATATTTTTTTAGACTGCAGTTTAGCGATCCATTTGTGAAAACAGAACCCTCTCTAGTGTGAGCACTGTTGTTTACGAGGTCTGTAGACTTTATAACGTCGATGCGAAGACGGGGAGAAGTTTCCCTGGATGGAAAAGTGACCGGGCAACATCCGTGGGCAGGTTGTGCGAGGCGGCGTGGCCCAGCTGGACGGGCGCCTGTGCCAGGGGGATCAGATCCTGGAAGTGAACGGGCAGGTCGTGGCAACGGCCAGCCAGGAGCATGCGGCCGCCCTGCTCAAGACCACCCTGGGCAAGATCTGCCTCCGGGTGGGCCGGCTGCGCAGGACCCCCTCCCAGCGGGTCTCCAAATCGGACTCGTGAGTGCCCTTTTGAAGACGGCGTCCCGGCAACAACGGTTGCCGGCGGCTCAAGAAACGCAAGCTTCTTTAAGTCGCTCTGCAACAAACCCCGTCATTGCCTTGGCCCACATGAAGGCCGAAAAGAGAATCGCGAAAACGACGTTAGCACTTTTTCCCAATTTGCTCCGGCATTTTATCGACGAGTACTAAATTTTACCGCTTTAGCTAGTGACCCCTATGAACATTTTTCAATACCCTGGCAGCTTTTATAACAGACTTTCACTTCTAAGCTGGAAACTGAAAGAACTGGGGGATCGCTCACTCAAGTTAACCGCGTTGTGTTGCATACTTTTTTTTCGGCCCAAGCAGCCGTTAATGACAGCCGGATTTTAAAATTGTTTTCGAATGTAGCCAGGCTGAAGAATCTGGGAATGCACATACGTAGTGTGCCACGCTGCAAAAGCTCTCCAACCCTGTAGAAAGCGCGAGGGGTTTCACGGTTTGCTCGATTCCGCTGTTGCTATAAAAGGGATTTCTCTTTCTCCATGCCTCCAAGGAACCTGAAGGTGAGTGAGCTTCCTCGCACACCGAACTAGCTCGTAAATTTACGACTGCGCAGTGTCTCGTTTCGAGAGAGGCTAACTCGTCTCCGTTTCCGCCCAGCAGCACTGCTAACGGGACGACACTGGTCTCTCTGGAGCGCGGCTCGGAGGGCCTGGGCTTCAGCATCGTGGGCGGGGCAGGCTCGCAGCACGGCGACCTCCCCATCTACGTCAAGACGGTGTTCGAGTCCGGGGCGGCAGCCCGCGACGGCCGCCTGCGTCGCGGACACGCCATTCTTTCAGTCAACGGACGCTCCCTGCAGGGACTCACGCACCAGGAGGCGGTAGAACTGCTCCGCGACGCCCGCGGCACCGTGACGCTGGAAGTGCTGGACACTTCCGTCGCGTCCGAGGCCACCACACCGTCGGCGAGTCCGACGCAGAGTCCGACGCCCGCCGCGCCCTCGGATCTCTTCTCTGGTGCGACGGAAGACACTTCGTGATTGTGCGAGACTCTGTGCCACTGCCCGCTTGACGCAGTGGCGCCCCGCAATTGGACGACGCTCGGCGGGACGGGCTTCCGGCTGCGTCAGGCGTGCCTTTCAACCGCGACGTCTCTTTCCTTGCGCGACACGAACTGCGTCGTGGTTTTCTCTTAACGTGGCAGCTTTGCTCGGCAACTGGACGTTTCTTCGGAGCGGCACGCACGACGCGCGTGCGGCAAAGCCTCAACGAACAGTTGTCTTTTGGGGCTTTGCGAGTCGTTCGTTTGTTGGTCGAGAAAGACTGCCCGTTTACCGTTGTTGCATATCGCACCGTAAACGGAAGTGCAGAACGGGGAGAGCGTGCGGGCGTTCCGAGCCCTGAACAAAATCGTTTATGGGGGGGAGGGGGCAGTGCTACTTTCTGGTTGCTTTAGGAACAAAAGTTTGGCTAAGGTGCTCTCAGAAGTCATGCCAGAATTGTTGTCGCCGAGCTCTCGACACCGACAAGCGCTCGCTCGGACCGTGCGGCGTCTAGGAGGGTCGCGGGACCATGGGCAGTGCGGCAAAGTGCCCTTGCCGGGGAAAACTTCGTCGGTCGGGTCCACCCATTCCGTCATCTCCACCTTCGAAAACTCTATTGAATACTCTGAGCTTCTCATCAGACAAATGCTAGCTAGAAAAGGAAAAAAAGTAAATAAAAATAAAAGCCGCGCTCGACAAGAGAGGAGGCGGGTCGCCGAACACCCGCGTGCGGTGCGCTTGATGGGACCAAAGATGGCAACCCGCGCGGTCGGGAGGGGCCGAATTAAAAGAGGGTAACGACGCCGCCACCTCAAGCGGCCGTCCGGAGAAACGTAAGGACCAAATAGAGACTGCATATCGTTTCGACCCGTTCTGATTTGCACCTAAAAGCCAGTCTGCACCGTCCGGCCGGCGAGTAGTCGTTCCGTTGTACATAATAGCCGGGCAGCCCCAGAGCGCTGTCCCTCGGTTGCTTGAATTGCGACGTTGTTGGGAGCTCGCGTTTGGGAGGCGAGGGTTTGTTTTAGACAAAGTTTACAAGAAGCGGTGGTTGAATGCAAGAAAGAAATAAAACCCACAAAGTCGCCAGCATGGTCTGGCACACCCGACGGACGAGAGTAAATTGGCTTTATTCCTTGAACATGGCATACGCGTGTCGCCCGTTGGCCGGCACCGCGGCCGGGCCCGGAAAATAAATATAATACAATAATACGTACAAGTGGTGTCACACTGGCCGTCGTGCGTCTGGCGTAAATGAGATTTCTAAAAGGAGGCACATTTCATTTGCCCTGTTTAGGCAAGGGATGACAACTGAAATGTGCATTCATTGTGGCACTGCAACACCGGCAAGTATGAATGTTGTTGGTTTCTGTTGCGCCCCAAAAATAATTTAGAGAGTCCAAGCAGCGGAACACAGCACGCTGAAGAAGCAAAGGTGCGCTTCCACACTGAATACACTCTACGTGTGGAGGCACTTTCATAGAAAGATTGCTTGTGTGACAGTGCAAAAAAATTGTTCCTGGGATATATGGCCAACATGGCACAATTCAGACACCTAGACTATCCTGGGACAACCAAGGGCAAAACACCAGTAAAAACATATCCATCATCGGCTCCTCGCAATAACATGAAAATGTAAATGCCCTAAAAACATTGGATACCTGAAACAAGGGTGTCCTCCGCACGTGGACAGCAAATACTAAAATTGTGAGTTACGCAAAAACGACATGTTCGTACGAATCGAGGTGGAGATCGAAGCTACAGATGCCCTGGTCCTTCATGAAATGCGACGACAAAGCCTGTGAATGATCTCATTAGCGTGGTGTTCCTTTAATACTTTCTCTGGGCATTGATAGCAGCATCTCTGTTGCAACGTTAATGGTCTACGTGAATCGAGCGTAGATGGCTCGTGTCGCGACACCACCATGAGCACCACATTTGGTAAGCCATTACACATATTTCAACAATCTCGAAATTCAAATCTAAGGCATGCCAAGGAATGACGTAGGACATAAAGGCAGTAAAACAATGACTCTCTTGTATTGTGCGCCGTTGTGGCTCGTTGAGCGAGAAAAAAATACTTCATATATTGCTGACCTTGTGCAATAGCACCCCTCGAAGCACAAAAAAGTAGTACTACACCTAGGTGTGATACTAAAATATTGAGTGCAGCTGTGACTTTGAAAACTGCTGACCTTGCCATGTCTAATGGACATTACAAAACTTTAAAAGAACTTTGCTTCGCAAGGCAATTAAATGGTATAATTCCACAGCAACCATCTTGAATCTTATTTGCAGCAATTTTTTCCCACCAGATCCCAAAAAACCTTTGACTGTGCTTGTCACGTCCATGAAATAGTGTATACCAGCTCGATGTGCATAGCCGTCTCATTAATAGTACTGCGGAGAACTAGTTCCTGTGATCCTGCAATCTTTTACCAGAAAAAAAAAAAGCTACGGAATTGCCAATACCCAGGGGAACAAAAAGACCAGGCTGAAACAATAATAGAAAGGTTATGGTAGATTACTTTTTGCCACTGCCCCAATGTTCACTGATGTAGTTTTACCAATTGTTCCAGTCTCAAATTCCAAATTGGTTACATATTGGGGCCCATTCACAGCACTAAATTTCTCAAGGGGAGAAGGGGCACGTGAGAGGGTCTGCACAAACTAGACCCTCCGGGCCACGAGAAGTAGGGTTGCACAGACTTTGCACTGCATCAGCACTTTGCTGAAGAAACCCAGACTTCACATACTCCGCGCACACAATGCAGCGTTTAGTGCCGAGATGCACACGTAACCGGCTTTCAGACTTCAAGATGGCTGCTGTCAAAGGTTGCGGTATTGAGACTACTTTCGTGGCAAATTTCCAACTGCAAATGGTACGGCCCTATCTAGATCCTTTCCTTCGCTGAATCGTGCGGCGGTCATAGCAGCTGGCGCTCCCTCCACTGGGCAAGGTGGCCGAGCAGCTCCTGGCCGCAGCGCGTCGTCCGGGCTTTCCGCAGACCCTTCTCCAGGGGATCCAGGAAGCCGGTCAGCAGGCTGCTTCCCAGCTGGTACTGCACACGCGACGGTGACACTGTTTAAGCAGCTCCGCTTTCCCAGCGCACGTGCTGACACACTTGCGACTGCTTACGACAAAAGCACACCGTGGAACACTGGCTTCGCATCATTCTTCCTTGGCTCGAAATGTTAGAAACAGCCTTTTCTTACGGGGTCACCTGATAGATCAGGCCGGTGTTTTCTCTCATTGTGAGAGATGGCAACAACTCGGTCCTAGAGCGTGAATGGACCTTAAGACCACTTCACACTCTTGCAACCGAGTACGACCGAGAGAGACGAGACCTGTTGAGACCCCTTAAAATTTCTTAGGACGACAGAACACACTGGCACCATCTATGCGGTGACCTGGAACTGCATTTCACAAGAGAGAAGGTTTTGCAGGATTTTCGAGGTCAAATGTGCGTAATAGCTATAAGAAAGGTTTTTTTGTAACGTTGACAAAAGTTTTTCGAGCCAAGAAAGAAAGGATAGGTTGCTAGAGAAATAAATATGCCGGATCGCCAAGTTTACACTGCTACCCAATAGATGGCGCCAGTGTGTCCTCGTAAGAGAGATTAAGAGGTTCCAAGGCACCAGATTCTAAGAGATCGCAAGAGTCTGAACGGGCCTTTACTGTAGCAGTAAAGGCCCGTTTTAAACAAAATTTAAAACGAAGCTGTCGTTTGCAACGATTTGAGTTCCGAAACGTAACATTGGAGCAGTAGATACAACGTTAGGAGGTTATCGTATTGCTCTTTTGCATACTGTTTTGGGGAGCGACAGAAAGCACTCGATCGGACATGCCAGTTGAGAGGAAGGGGCACATGCCTGCTGCATGGCCAGATAGACGGCCCTGAAGGCGGGCTCCTTGCTGGTCTGGAAGACGTTGCGGTTGCCGTGCAGCAGTGCAGCCGTCGCTCCCAGGCAGTTGGGGCCGTACATGCAGTGGTCCGTGCGGAAGTTCCACTTGCACGACAGCACCAGCAGCTTGTCGGGGTGGTCGTGGAACACAATGTTGATGAGGTCCTGGTCGCCCCAGCTGATGTTCCGCTCGTACTTTGTCAGCAGCGGCCCCATCAGGGACTCCCAGCCGAAGGCGCGCATTCTCGTCAGGTTCATCAGCATCACTCCCGAATTTACTCCTGCGGGGGTAAACGCCCGAAGAAGCCGAGTGTTTCTCTGTAAATTCTCGGATGTAATGGCTCTCCGACGAGGGAGCCTGTTGACTCGTTGGAAACGGACATCCTCCGCGAGATAATTGTACAATGTCATCTTCAACATTGCTGTGAAATACTGAGCAAACACTCGCCCAAAAGTTAGATCTCGAAAAACTGGGGCACGCTTGCTTATCGAGTCGGAGAGCAAAAATGGGGCCACAAAGTAGGGTGGGTTTCACTGCTAAGCATCAATGCGTGCTCACTGAGCTTCACTGCAGAGCACGCTGGGAGGAGTGACTGAGGCAGATCTCTCTAAGCTAGTTGGGGACGCTCAATATGTCCCTCGCTTATTTCAAAAGTAGCGGGTGGCTGGTTATTGCGATGGAAGTTCCTGCTCGGTCTTTACGGTATTTCCTGCTGGAGCAATATTTACTTTTTGTTGGTGGCATACAGTGGCACCTGTTTCCGAATCCATCTAGATCGGGACCCTAGCTTTCATTTCAAATCGGTGTTGAGCATCTTGGCCAGCCTCGGATGGAGGGAACGAACCACGAAACAGGTGCCAATCTCTGACGGAGGTAATAAGTGCTGCATCTATCGAACACAATACCAAAATCTTTTGGTTTTATTTGCATTCGCTGGCTGGCAAAATAATTTAATTGCTCTGGTAGGAAATGTTTGTTTTTCTTCTCGTTCTGGATCATGGATGCACAGAAGCAGTGCAAAATTTTCACAGATGCGAAAATTAAGGCGTCCCTTCAGCAAATTGACGACGACGACTCGGGCATGAGTATATGCTCAGTGACAGCCAAAGCCTTGGGATTACTCACGAGCCAAGCCTGACATTTGTTTTTTTCCAAAACTTTCTTGTGAAAACACGTCTTTATGACCTGCCGTAAGTATCAAACATGTAAAAATTAATGGCGTCTTTCTTTGTACTTTAACACAACAAAAAGCAACGTGTTACTCCTGTACATTATAAACAAAATTAACATTTTAGAGCAAATATAATTTTTCAAGCTTTCCGACCGAATAAAAAGAACTCCCCAAGGCACGGCCGCGCATGCAAGAATAACCCTCCAGAACGTGGCAGCATTCAATAAAATGGAAACATAGTTGCGTACCCAAGGGCTCGAAGAACGGGTGGCGTGCAAAGCGCCGGTACCAGTTGGTGGCATAATCCTCGCTTTCTGGCACCAGCGCCGCCAGCTGGCTGTCGTTCATGGCGCCAAAGAGGCTCCAGAGGTCTTCAGGAGGGTGCACGAAGATCACGTCGGCGTCCACGTACAGAACTGCATCCTCCTCCGGCAACACGCTCTGTGGGTGGGGAAAAATGCTGTCACACCCGAGCTTTGCCTTGTCCTGGATAGGGTTAAGTAGAAGCTCTGTAGATTGTGCAGTCCTCAAAGGGCTACTCCAGCCTCAATAGCCAACGCCCTTTGTTTGAGTTACATGCACTATAATATGGAGGACATGGGAGACACATTCAGAAAGTGCTTCCATAATCCAATAAAAATTAAGCGTAAGTGCATCCTTTCATTTCTCGTTCGCTCTTTCATGTTGCTTGATGTCTTTGTCGACTCTTATTGTTTCATTTTTGCAATCCCATTCAAGGACTTCGAAGAGCTTAGCAGAGCTGAGCCATCCAGAACACAAAAAGCGTGTTTCTGCGAAGCCATTTCACATAATTATTCCGCAAGTCCTGCTGGGTGACAAAATATGCCTGGAGATACCATAAACTAGGGAGTGTTGTCAATCGTGTTTAAATTTTGGAAACATGACTATCGTAATGCAAAAGTGCAGGCTACATCAAAACAAAGCTTCTACTCAAGGACGCTCGGCAGCATCGATGTACACCCGTGAGCGATATAAAGGAGAACAACCCTCTTCTTGTTTTTTGACGCTCCTGCAAGTTTTGGAACAAGCTCTGTTCCAGAAAAGGGTTAGAACGCAAAGTTTAGACCCCAAGCCACGTACCATTTAAGACGTTGGGAGTTAATATAGCTTTAGGGAGCCGTAAAACAGGCAAGAAAACAGGTTAGGTGTTCACCTTCATATTGCCGGCGGGTGTAAAACTGCATGCAGCTTCTGAAGGTGCTCTGACCAAAAAGCACTTTCGTACAAGTGCATACAAAAAGCTGCGACAATTATCATCTACAGCAGATAATGCATGATGGTTCGGAGTAATGTAGAATAAATGACAATGCCTCTCGCTCATATTAGTCCCTTTGGCAAAACATATCAACGTCTTTTTCCTACTCAAGATTCACACTGTCAGCACGTGTTCACGTGTCAGCACTGTATTCACAGTGCTGACACGAGGCAGCGACACTAGCATGCTACATTCACTTACACAAGCATATGTCAGCCAGCTAAGGTCTGTCAACCAGAAATGGCTGCTCTAAAAGAATGCACTGAAAGAAACATAGCTTGGTATCAACCGTGGGCGTCGTGCCTGGTCAATGGTTTTGAGCAATATCGATTGAGAGGGGAAACACTGGTCCTAATAACTTTTTTTTTTTTATTTATTTATTATGCTGAAATTTAGTGCACTGATGTTTTTCTCAGTGGTGATTTCAAATATGCATTTCAGATAGCTTCACTAGATCCTCAGTTATCAATAAATTCGTAATTTTAATTAGGCCCTCCTTACGGGTCGTTAGCGTAAAATTCTTGAGAATATATCAGAAATTTTGATAGAATTGCATTCACCAAGACATGCATTGTGTGGTGATGCTATTTTTGTTGCTTTATATGTCATACAATAATTTTAGTTAATTAGTCTCGAAAACATATAACCTCCAATTTTGTGCAACTTGATTGCAAAATGTTTTTTCAGCCATGTAATGTCATGAAATCAGGCTTAAATAGCATCACTGCACAAAACATGTCTTGGTGAATGCAATTCTAAAAACGTTTATGATATGCTCTGAAGAATTTTACTTTAACAACCTGTAACGAGGACCTAATTAAAATCACAAATTTATTGATACTTCAGGATCCAGTAAAACTATCTGAAAACTAATTGCATATTTTAAATCGCCACTGAGAAATACATCAGTAGACTAAATTTGAACACAATAAATGAAAAAAAAAGAAAGGTTGAGGATCTTTTAAAAAATAGGGAACCAAAATTTGAATTTAAAAAAAAAATGCAGGAGATGTAGGCGGGACGCTACAATCCCTACAACACTACTCGTAAGGCGACATCTCGAATGGACAGCCATATTTTTGGAAAAAGAGGTTGAGACGGAAAGAGGCCGAGAAGGCGCGCGACGTCAACATATCTTGTTTCCTCCTCTCTTCACTTCGCCCCATCAAGGCGGCGAGGCGGAGAAGATGCGAGGCTGTTCCCTCTCCTTCTCGGAGAAACAAGACATAAACATATCTGTCAAATCCGCCTCCTTTTTTTTTTTTAAATACGGTCATCCGTTCCAGATATCGCTGTACGAGTGATGTTTTGGTGTCTCTAGCATTTTGTGGCATGTTTCTGCTGCCGTGTTTTGGGGAATCGAGATTTCGGTTCAGCATCCTTTTAAGGAGTATTAAGGAAAACCATCCGTACGTACGGGCAAAAAGAGGCGCTGAGAAGCACACGGCTGGAATAGCTTCTTCCACTTGTCGCCCTTTTCTTCTGGGAATCTGACAGGATGCACTTCAAAGGTGACACGCTCCAGCACCTCAGCTGGCCACCGCAGCAACTGCACAAGATTGCCGGGGGAAGCAATGTGAGCTCATCATGGGAGGTTATTTCTGCACATAAATGCACTAAAATCAGCAAGGCATGCACTCATGCTTTGCTGATTTCAGCAAAGCACGAGTGCGTGTCTTGGAAGAAAAACCCCTCCGGAAGCCATATTGGTGGTCAAGAAAGAAGTGGTTTTAATCTAAATGAGTCACGACTTGAGAAAAGATCATATGCTCTAGGAGTTTGCACGGTACACAAGTTAATGATATGGGTCTCTAGTTTGATAGTAACGACCAATCACCATCTTTGAAGACCGGTTCCCACTTTTCAGTGAGAAGGAAGACGTACCTTTACCAACGATTGGGCAGATAATAATGATGCAAACTGACTTGATATTTTATTTGTGTTTTTTAAGGATTTTTGGTGAGATGTTATCAGGTTGGGGGAAAATGAAACTTTGAGGTGATCGATAAGTCTGGCTACACCGGTGGCGGAGATATGTTCAAAGGATTTTCACGGGTGAAAACAGAAGCGAAATAGTCGTCAATCACTGAAGGGCAGGATCCTTCAGGGACAGGGAAACGTTTGTCGTCTCTCAAACTAATAGATCTAACGTTTTTCTTGAAACCATTTTCCAAATCTTTTTAGGATTGGTTTGCATGACATTTATGAATTTATTTATTTGCTTTACCCTCAGGGCCCAAAGGCATTACAGGGGGGGACAGCAAAATTGAGATCCCTCCAAAACAATGTACAGTTAGTTATTCACACTCAACAGAACAATGATTAGTTAGAGCGGACCTAAAAAAAATGACCGCATCTCCACCTGGTAAATGATGTTGATTGGGGCGAAGCTCTGGTGGCACTCATGATACTGATTTTGTTCATAGGTAGTGCTGATGGTGCTGATTTTTTTTTATTGCTCATAGGTACTGCTGGGTTCCGGGTTGCGTTTCGACTTCATTATTACTGCTTTATGGTCGGTGAAATGCAGAGCCAGTGGTTCTAGCGGATCAGCTTGGATCCGCTAGAAGCCGTGAGACAGCACCTCCACCGCTTAAGTCAACGGTCCATGTCAGAAAGAGAATGTGTGATATGGATCGTGGTTATATACGCAGTTGAGCATTTAGCCGCAGCGCCCTCTCGTCTATAAACATTGAGCCAATGCATGCAAATTTTAATGCGATTATATACGCATTTGACCGCAGTGCCCTCTCCTGTATAGATGTTGAGCGGCTACAAGCAATGTTTCATCCATGACATCCCCAGCTCTTGAGTTACTACCACATCTCAGAGCCATCTCAGAGACTCATCCCGCAGTCGTGGCCTAGTGGTTAAAGTGATGGACTAGAAATCCATTGGGGTCTCCCCGCACAGGTTCGAATCTTGTCGACTGTGCAAACATTTTCTTCTTTTTTTAAGAAGACAGATGGGATGGCAATCGATGTGAGCACGGACGCCAGACAAGGCTAGACCCTAAGGATCTTCGCCTCTAAAAGTACAGTGTCTGTGATGGATGCAATTGGTCCGGGAAGGTGGTTCCAGTCGAGGAATGTGGAAAGAAGAAAAGAAGAATGGAATGTAGATGAAATAGCGATAGGTACCTCAACTTTGTGCTGATGATCATGACGAGCAGAAATATAAAAGGGTCGGGTGCTTAATTTGTTGCAAAGCACAGAGGTATAAAAATTAATTCTGTGAAATAAAGAGAGGTGTGAAAGCTTACGTCGCAGGAAGAGGGGCGGGAGTGACAAAGTTGATTTCATAAAAGTAACGCTAGACGTATAACGACAATTATAATAAAACAAGCGGATCTATAGGCAGGTCGTTATTGAACTATTCATTTTTAGCCAGTTTAATCTGTTGAGTATAATTTTTTAGACAGTCACAATACGAGTTCCAAGCTGCTACAAAATGGTTTTGTTTAGTTTTCTTGAAAAGTTATCTTCTTTTTGTTTCTTCAATTCTTTATAATATTATTGTAAAGGATGACAGTCGTGACTGTGTACACGAAGCAGTGGCACAAATCGCCAAATAAGATGATATAGCTCATCCCTATACAATATCTTCAACTTTTCTTGAAGTATGTATTACGAGAAATTACAGACTTAGGGTAACTTGCAACAACTTATGGTCACTGCAACCATTACTGTGGACAATAGAGTAGATGAGGTCAAGGGACGACAAAACTAGATCGAGATTATTATCTAGTTGAGTCGATGAATCAAACTTTTTTTTTTTTTTTAAGTTTTATTGCGGACTTGTTACATTTTGTAGTATTGTTGCGCAAATATTCGAATTTCCTAATAGAAGTTTTGAATAACATGCTATTTGATATTCTCTTCGATATCAACTGCGATATTCATATTTTTCTAAGTGTTGATGGCGGCGGGTTTGCCCCGTCGAGTGCGCTTCCTACCAAACACCGATGCACTGCAGGGAAGCCAGACCCACGGAGCTCGCTTCCCTGGTGGCGGCTTCTCCGCAGTGCACCGGTGCTTTGTAAGAAGCGCACTCAACGGAGCCAACACGCCGCGATCAACACCTGGAAACATACAAGTATCACAGTCGCGCGGTTAGGAGGAAAGCTTATTTCCAAAGAGGGATGGTGTACGTGCGTGCCTGGTGTATTTAAAAATAAATGGAAATTTGGTGAATGTTAATATTTACACTGCAGTAATGTTGTTTTTGTTTTGTTTTAACCTAAACTGGCATTCATGAGTATATGTTAGGCAAAGATGCCTTGACAACCTGTGATATATGATTGAAGAAGACATATTTGCATATGGCAAGTATTGGCGAAGAGATGCAACTATAAGGGGTGCTATGTCTAGCTTGTTTTCACTAGATGGGGCAAAGACTGGAAATGACTGGTGCCCAATTTTTTCCTCGCTCTCAGTCGAGAAAGATGCTGCATCAATGTTCGGCTTAAGCGACTGAACACGAGCCCCAACCAGACGCAATGTTCGACTGTGTGGGCCATGTCAAAATACTAACGAATCATCTATGTCATCGGTGTAGTTCTAAATTTAGTCACTAGGGGCGCAACGGTTGGATCTCCTTCCCAATAGGTTTGATTTCATTGTTTACTTGCCATCAAAATGGAGTCAATAAATACAAAGTAACGATCTGCCACAGTCAATAAATATTTATTGACTGTGGCAGATTGTTCTACAGCAGAGCTGGTTTCTTCTCTCCCTTTAATTCTTTCTCTTTACACAAGTTCAAGCCGACCCATGCAAAGTATCTAACAACTAGCTCAATTCGAGCCCTTAAATAAATACAATCTTCACAAAAAACAACCTTCACAAGTACAGCGGGGTTAAGCATGTTGCAGTAGCAAAAAAGTTAGGACTATTCAATATTCAATTAGAAAATATTCGACCAAAGCCACTATTCACTTCGGATTTGCTTCAAACTCAATATCCACTATACGCATATGTCCACATTCTTAATAATGAAAAATATATTTTTCTTTTCTTTTTATTTTTTTTTTTTTAAGCAGCATTGCAAGACGTTCCTGCCAAAAATAGCAAATATTTATAAGAGAACACTTTAAAAAAGTGTCTGCTCAGTCTGGGGGGGTAAAAAAGTGCAGTCAGCGTTACCTGCTCTCGGAGAGGCTGGATGGAGGCATCGCTGGCAAACAGCAGCAGGTGCAGGGGTGCTTTGGAGAAGGCTACGGCAGACTTGAGGCTGACCAGAGTGATGTTAAGGTGGTCCCCGCAGGTGACCATCGCCAGCTTGACGGGCTCCCTGCATCAGTGAGGCCATCCGGTCACCTTTCAAGTGAGCTTTAGGACAGTGTGGGACTTGGTGCCAAAGGTCTCGGCTGGTGATGCCTCCGAGAAAAAGTGGCCTTGCTTATGCCTGAATTATCCAGAATATGAATGGCCCCCTAAAAGCAGGGGGGGCCGGGTTTCGTGGATAAACCAATCGAATTCCTGTAACAAAATTAGAGATGCAAAGTGTTCATGTGGCAGCTCATTTTTTTACTTAGTACTTCATTTCGCCAAAGGTCAGGAGCACCGTTGCAACGCCTAGGCTAGTATTTTGCTAAATACTGCAAGCTTATATTTGACATTGGTATTATCCGGGACTGGGAATCGATGCAAGTTTGTCTGCTTAATTCTCACGCAGGGGTTGCGATGATGTCAGAATGCCAGGCTCTTATTGGCTGATTAAAAAAAAACAAATACTGGGTAGATTTCAACGCATCTAGCGTTGAGGCCTATCCCCTATCCTTGCAATCAAACCCAATAAGAACTCGACGTCGTACTGACAACACCGCAACTCACGCGCTAGTAGCAGACGACTTGCACTTCGCATTAGCTCGTGCAGTGGGAGCACCTGCCATAGTTACCCGCTTGCACCTGTAACTCTTGTTGCAGTACAAACATAACAATAAACTACTCTGAGGAATCCTGAAGCCGTTTCAGGTTTGCAAACTGCATCACGGTCATCAGTCTCACGAAAATGGCCGTGATGCTTGGCGAGACAGGAAGTGAAAATATGACAAAAATATCGGATATCGTAACTTCTAATAGGCCGCATATTCTGGAGAACAATCTGTCGAGAACTACCGGAGCATGGCTGTCGCAGTTTTGTCGTATGTTGAAGCTGACGTTACAGATATATGTGCTTCAGTTTCTCGTTGTTTTTTTTTTTTTTTTTTTTTTTTTTTTTAGAGAGAACGTGTGAAATTGTCTTTTAGGTAGGTCAAAAGCGCATCATTAGATGAGATATCGACTGAACACACCCTGTCGCGTGGCTGCAAAACGGAGCGTTTTGCAACCATAATACAAGGCTCATCCGCTTAATAACGAGCACATTCCTTATAAGAGACGAAAAGGCCCCGAGCGAAGGTCAAAGGTAACCGCGGGCTCCGTACCGTCTCGGGCTCGCCGTGACTTCCGGTGTCGGGGCGGACGGCGAGGCCACCTTGCCTCGACTGTCTCGGCCACGGTACGACGCCAGGTACGGCCGCTCCCTGAACAGGACGAGCAGGCAGCCGACGACTGAGAGTGCGACCAAGCACGGCACATAATAGACGAAGCGGTGCGACCTCTGGCCCATGCTGGCGACCGCTACGGGTGCCGCGACATCGCCGGACGGAGGCACGGGCGCGCTTGACCACTGCGCGACGGCTACGTGGGGAACCGCAGCGGGGTCGGCGTCATTGCGACCGCAGCATTCCGCACCATCGAAGATAGCACCGTTACGTCGCGATATGCACCGGCACAGAGGTCGGCTCCGACGGAATCAACAGACCGCACATCCGTAATGCATTAGGAGCCTTGATTAGGGGCCTCGATCCGTGTTGAGAACGCAACGACGCAACGCGCAACGCACGGACGGAAACACGGCAGTGGATTGGTTTGGGTCTGTGTCTTTGGTGTAGTAAGAAAATTAATGTGTGTAGTTTGACTCATCTCTTCGAAGTATTCTAGAATCCCAGCATCAATACTTTCTTGTGGTTAGTTTTAACGCAACATAAATTTGCTAAAACTTTTCTAGTTTTATTTTTCACGTACACATTTAGTGCAAATGAAAAGTTAAAAATAGTTTATAACTACAATAGCCGAAGCCTATGGTCCAATCCAATCCAAAGTTTTTAACCACGCTTGCGGCGGTGCCCGTCGTCCTTGCCGCGTGTGGCGTTATTGGCGTTGTCTTCGCGGTGGTCTACGAGAACCTTTCTGCCCAGGTTTGTTCCCGACCGGTGCGTCGGAAAAGCCCGTCGGCAGAATGCTCCACCTCGACATGATATCCTCCTGCGAGCGGGACTTCGTCAGGAGTGCCGTGTCGAGCAACAGGCGCGTCGATGGACGAACCTCGAAGGACAGCCGGGCTCTGCGGCTCTCGCTGGGTCTGGACCGCGGCTGCTGCGTCGCCTCGCTGGGCGAGACCAAGGTGCTGGCCCAGGTCTCGAGCGAAGTGATCGTGCCCAAGCCCAACAGGCCCAACGAGGGCGAACTCTTCGTCAACCTGGAGCTATCTCCGATGGCGGCTCCACATTTCGAAGCCGGGCGGCTCGGCGACTTCGGCGTCGAGATCGCGCGGCTCCTGGAACGCTGCGTCCGAGACTCGCACTGCGTTGACCTCGAGTCCCTCTGTATCGTCGCGCGTGAGAAGGTGTGGTCCCTGCGTGTTGACGTCCAGGTGCTCAACCATCGCGGCAACATCGCCGAGTGTGCGAGCGTCGCAACGGTCGCGGCCCTGCTCCATTTCCGGAGACCCGACGTGACTGTGGTCGGGACCGAGGTCACCGTGCACGACCCTCGGGAACGCGAGCCCGTGCCCCTCCACCTGCACCACTACCCATACCTTATGTCGTTCGCGTTCTACGACGAAGGCAAAACCGTGCTGGTCGACCCCAGCGAGCTCGAAGAACGCATCGCGGACGGCCTGCTCACGCTTGGCGTGAACGCGCACTACGAGATCTGCACGCTTCACCAACGCGGCTGCATCATCGGCAAAGAGCAGGTCCTGCTGTGCTCGAGGCTGGCCTGCGTCCGCGCCAAAGCAATCACAGAGGCCATCAAGGAAGATATCCAAAGGGACCAGGAGGCCAGGTCCAAGAATAGGAGCGTTGGCTTCGCAGCAACTATAGAAGACGAGGAGGTTTTAGCAACCACTGTCGAGCCTGAAGCCATCCAAGTGGATGACGAGGAGGCTACCCCGCGCATTGTGGTTCCAGAGTGTCCCAAGCAGCTGGAGTCTACGTTGTCCAAAGTGAAGGTTTTCTTGGAAGGTGCCGGCACGGCTGCCATCGGACGGGGCGGACCGAGCAGCTGGGGAGTGCTCCAGGGCGCGGACCAGGGTCGAAACGCCGAGAAGGCGGGGAGGAAGGCGGCAGCCCCGCACAGCGAAAGTGTGGCTGCCGAGAGCGGAGACAGCGAAGAGGACGAAGTTGTCGTTTTGCAGCCCGAGGGCCGCCAAGGAGACTCGGGAGAAAGGATTGACCTTACCAGGGCGGTGAAGAATGATCCTGCCCGTGGATGGTATTCCAAGAACCCATTCTAGATTCGAGGACAGAAAGGAATCGCCTGCGACGGAGGTGGCGCCTGAACGTGGGAGCATCGAGCGCATGCCCATCTTAAGAAGTGCACATTTTGCATGTTGACCGGGCTGCAACTTCCTTAGTGTCTGGCATATGGTGTGATGGTGTACATGACACAGTTTAATGTAAAAGGTGGCTTTATTTTCTGGCATTTGTACATTTGATGACATGTGAAGAGGAAACATGCTCAATAATTTATGAATCCGACTATTGACGAGATCGCAAAAAACACATCTTTGGAGAAGCCTTCATCTTCGGCGTGTCCCTCCAAACCCTGTAAACAATACGGTCATCAATGTGTGTCAATGTCGCAAAGCAATCCAACACATAATATTTGAAGACAATGTTACTAGGCAGGTGAACTGCTAGTTATTCACCATATTAAAACCCAAGATGGAGACAAAAAAGGACACATAATGTCTCAAAACTGAACATAGGCTCACTAACAACTTTTTCCCTTCAATTAGACCACAAAATCAAATTAAAGATTTTCACCTCATAAAAAAATATGTCCACAAAAAGACATCTCAATAGTGTTTTCCATGACACGTGCTAGAGGTGCATCACATCATTGCAGCCTCTACACTTGTTTGTGCTACACATTCCCATCGACGAAAAGGCAAACAGTAAACGGGGACTAAAGGAAGTGCAAACAGGAAAAGCGCTGTCCTGTTTGCACTTCCTATAGTCCCCGTTTACTGTGCACTGTTTGCCTTTTCGTCAGTATGAACCAACTGACCCTAATCGGTACCCCACATTTCCACCCTTTGAGTGCTAGCCCGAAATGTTTACTTAACAATGATCTAGCGCGTGAATCTGTAGTGTGTGCTTTTCTGAGTCTGCGTGTTTTGGCAAGACTTCATTCAGTTGACATTTTGCACTTACCGCTTGAGCTGTACGTTCCAGACGAAGAAGAAGAGAAACTCGGCGCCGATGAAAAGGTGCCTTCACGGGGGTAGCCGAAGCCAGACGACGCATACCCGGTATTCCTGCAAAGAGTAGCAAGAACGCCGGGAAGTTTGATGCTTGGACCGTTGAGACTACGACAGACGGCTGAAGCAATTGACCGCAGCGTACCCCCTGTTTCCAAACATATATCCCAGCAGTCCTCCAGCGGCGGCGCCGGACCAGAATCCTCCGAGGCCAGACCCTCCGCGGCCTCCAAGCCCCGCTCCGCTTCCACAACCTGCACAGACGAACACGATGCTCTAACATACTACACAGGACATCAAATACACTGTATACAGCATGCGCTTTCTTGTTTATGAACTCGCTTGTGCCATCCACTGGCTGCCCTCGATACATATCTGCATATACTCAATTTTAAGTGCATCCCCTGTCAACCACATGGGTAAAATAATTTCTACGGCATTAAAAGTAACCACATCTAATCCAGCATTTGTTGCAAAACCAGTTGTGTAGCAGACTACCCCAGAGATATTTCCACACATGTGCCACTCTGACTCGCATGAAAAGGCACTGTAGGCACTAGCATACATGGTGCAGCATGATGCTCATTTGGCTGTGTACCATAGGTGCAAGCGCACCTATGATACACGTGCGCCACTCCCGTCTGCATGCATTGTTTGCACCATACGGAGCTGCCACATACAAAAAGCTTCGTCGTGCATGTTGTAGTTGTGCCGTACTTCGCCTGGCTGCATGGCCATTTTGGAAGCAGCACATTGCCACTTGTGCTAACATCATGGTCCTTCTCTAATGTGTATGGCACGCAAGCTGTACGCCGCTAGCGAGGGTACAGAAACTCACTGGCGTCGGTGTGGTAGTCTGGCCTGAATCCGGGTGGCGGCGGTGACCCACCGCCACCAAAGAACCCTCGACGTCCGCTCGGTCCAGAGGTGGGATCGTCAGGAGGAATGTCCGTGTAGCCGTCCGCGCCACGCTGCGCCGCGTTGGTCATGCAGCTCTTGTAGATGACGTAGATGATGAAGCAGAGCACACCGAGGAACAACACATTCTGGAAGGACGAAGACTTCCCTTTCTGGCCGTAGTAGCTGTAACGTGTTTGCACAGGAAACATTAGTTTCAGAGCGGAAATTGAAACACTAAATTGTTCCCATTGCCAGTACTAATGATTGAGGTACTTTTAGTACCTTACTTTGTCCATCTTACCTATGAAAGAAAAAAAAAATTAGAAGAATATTTTTTAGGTTTATGTTCCAAACGCAAGGCATTTGGCACGTCCCAGCGAAGGACTGATGATTATTTAGACTACCTGGGGACTTTTAATCTGCAACCGAACACATTGGACAGGACTTGAACCCACCACAATGGGATCCACAGGTACACTTTGCGTATGCCATACAGCTATCAGTTTCTCGGGTTTTGCTCAGGTGCCAGCAACAAAGCTAGCGACATGTCCCTGTTTCTTGCTTAGAGAAATAGTGTGCAGGTATTGGTTCTGTACCCTCTCGAACAGTGGTTCAGTAGTGCTTTCCTGTCCAACTGATTAATTGCAAGCATAATTCTGTAACTAAGGGGTTGATAACCAGGTATTTAATAATGATTGCAAATTGGAGAGTTTGTTTGTGTTTAAAAGACAAATTCAGGCAATATGTTTGAATTTGGGATTATGACTGTTTTCAGCTAAGGCAGTGCCTCGTAATTACAAAACATAATTTTTTTTCTTCTCAATATTGTGTGTAGTTTTATAAATATCACGGCTCAAAGTTTGGTTTCAGGCGTCTATGGCAAAGCCGAAACTATCTGCTAGAGGGATGGCAACACTGATCACCAGCCGCACGGATGTGACGTCACACTGGTGCTGTGGTATGCGATACAACCAATCAACCGGAGGTTTTGCCGCGACGCGACGTCACAAGGGTGCTGCGCCAGTGTTCTTTGACTAAAAGCTAACCTGCTTGCAGTCTGCTAAAGAGCAGCTAGTTGCATCTTTAAAATTGTCTTAGTAAAGTATGCAACTTCACTTTGACGGACTATTTTGGCTGTGATAATATTTCGTGCCACTCAAGTGAGACCAGTCATTTATTTTGGTTTCGTTTTTGACAGGAGTTGGGGAGATGCAAATAAAATAACAATATTTTGAAAAAAAAAAAAAAAAAAAATTTTATTTTGGGCTTTAGGGTGTGACTCTATTTGCATCTTCATATTTAAGTATAAAAGTAATAAGTACCAAATATGGTCACAAAATTCGTCAAATATGCATTCGAAGAACTCCCTGCGACCTAGAAAGGCGCAAATTTGAGCAATTTTCGTGTGCACGGTTCTTCTTGAAATTATGACGTTGAGATGTAAGCCTCGCAATCACCTTTTCGTCGCATTCTTCTGTAACTTCAATTTCTCACAGAAATTAAGAACAAAAATGATTGCTCCCGCCACAAAAAAGCGTCGCTACACATGTACGGCAATATTCAAATATGTTTTTCTCTTTGTAATTTGAGACGTCTACAGAGTTTGTGCAGAATTTATTGTCTTTAATGTTGCCCCACCATTACTAAATTCGGCGGGCATATGCTTTAGGATATTTACTATACAACTATCAAGAAGAGGTTAGAATATTTATTTTTATGCCAACAAAGAAACTTGTCTTCTCTAAAAAAATGTATGTTGCAAACTTTAGTTATATTAAGATATAAGATGTCTTGCACAAATTATCATTGTTGTTCACTGCATTCAGTGGTTCAAAAGGACCAAAGTAGCTTATCAAGCTATATCAAAGCTGACAGCAGATGTATATAAAAAGATATCAAGCACCATAACCTGTGAAAATGTCATTCAACTATCTCATATAATTAAAAAAAGATGTTTTCCCTTAGCACATGTTTCCTTAAGCAGCGTATAGAACAGCGCGCAAAACAATAAGAATGGGAGAGTAGTACACGGTACGAACGCTGAACTCACAACTAAACATTTACTTTGTTGGGTTTCTTTCCAAAGCGCTCCTCCCATCTACTTCCCTCCCATCCTCATTGTTTTGCGTGCACATATTGCTTGAAGATTGTAAATTAACCATAACATACAGAGCACATGCCCATGTTGCAATAGGTTCCCAACCCCACTTTTTAAAACATTTGGAATATAAGCAAAGCATATTTCACAAGCACCCACCCCAGTAAACATCCGAGCCTGCCGAACTAACTGGGGTGTACCTCCAAGAAGCTGGTGCAAGAATGTGAAGCTTCACGCACATACACCAATGCGAAGTGGTGAAGCTTCACACTAGTGTCAGCACGAAGCAAGCTTAACGAGTGGGGCACAGCTGCTTTAAAAACGAGGCATTGCATGTGACCTCTTTCCTATACCGCACCATTGGATCAAACAGGCCTGCCATGTGCCTCTTTTGCTTCTGGACCAAACAAGTGCACCATTTGTTCCAAGGTTTGGGTGGGTGGGTGCTTGGTCAATATTTTACGGTACTACCAGAATTCAGGTGCATGGCAGTTTTCCAGGAACAATTGTCGATGAAAAACTTGCCTGTGTGATTGGCTGTCTTCGCCGTAACTGTGGCCAGTTCTCTCCAACTTGTACTCCAACTGATGGGGAGAGAAAATGTTTAGTTGCCCAGAACCACCACTACCAACTCAATTCATTTGTGGAAGTCATGAACATGCATTATGTGCTATCAACTTCCACAAAAGTGTAGAACTGATCTGTAAAGTGCATCTAAAAAGTAGCTCAAGTAAAATACAAATCAAATGAGAGGTTGTGCACTTCAAGTAAAGTAGAAAGTACACCGGGCACAATGCACTTTAAGTAAGGGGGGATATGGCCTGAGAGGGTCAACTTTTGAACCCTTCACCCAATTTGGTTCAAATTTTGAGGGTTATTTCAGCACTATGAGGAAGGATAATCTGCTAAGTTTTAGCATTATCGGTGAACTTTACAGTATGCTACGATTTTTGCACTTCAGAAAAAAGACAACTCATTAGGAAGTCTATCGTAGAAAAATAATATTAGCTGGTGGCAAACTACCTGCTTCAATGAGAAGAACAATACCCACAGTGCAACCTAGATAAAAAATATATTGCAAAATATTCAATTATGATGAAAATAGCAACATCCCAAAATTTAAAAAAAATTGTAAAATTTTTATGTTTCAATTTTTTATTTTTTTTTTCATGAAGGAGTGTATTTTTTTAACTGTGAAGTAGTCTATCTTGTTCCCCAGAAAATTTCAGTCCCAGAGAACCTTGAATGATGTCCCTCATTATTCTGAATGTCAAACGATAGCTTCCCTAAAACAAGAATTCCTGTCAAACAGTGAAACTGAGAAAAATGTGATTAGTTTCAACTTCGGTTCTTTTTATTTTCGAATGATGCCAGAAACTTGAAATTCAACCGAGTCATTGGTGGAACCTTCAACTTCATGGGCGCATTGCTTGCTGGCAGCAGCTTGCGGCTTGTTTCTCAAAATCCGCCTGCGGCATAGGTGGCACCTTCGACCTCCAGGCTCTGTTGCTCCCTGGCAATAGCCTCCAGCTTCCGTCTTTTGTGTGCGAGCTTTGATGAGTCCTGTGCCTTCACTCTGGCCTTCACGATCTTCCCCAGAGTCGCCTTGTGGGCATGCTTCTCCTGGTGGCTTCCTGGGGTGATGCCCATCTCCTGGAGCGTCCTTTCGAAACCTTTAGGTCCAAGGTTGAACTCGAGGACAGCTAGGGCAACAGCTGTCTCGACAGTTCGCAAGGAGGCGAACTCCGTCTTGGGGCATCTCTTCCAAATAAGGGCGTTAAAAGACTCGTTCGCATTTTGTGTCATCATGCGGGAGCATCGGAGGAGCAACTCCTTTCGCGACAGCCGGTTGTACACTGGAACAAGCTCTCTTGCAACGTCTTTGGAGAATGCTGGTCTGTGTGGCCGTGGTGTCGAAGGCTTCCCTGCTGCTTCGAGGGCCTTGTGGCGGTTATAATGGCACCACGAATCCTCACCATCTGGACAGCCCATGTGACGGGGCTCCTCGTCTGTGGAGTACGTGTGGAACAGGCTGGCAAAGATGGCTCGCTGCATCTTCACGACATCAGGCGCGTTGTCCTTCAAAGCGCAAGCATAGTAGTTCGTCAGCTTTTTCATCACTACGTTGGTCAGCTTCCCTTTTCCTCCCAGTCCTTTTTTTGTTTTCTTGAGTTTCTCCAGACCTGCATACATCCTCTTTGCTACGTGATTGACGCAATCCTCCTTGTGGATGTCCTTGTCGTACAGGTCAAGGCTGGACACATGCGTGAAGGCCTTGCTGTCGCCGTCGCACAAAACAGTGACGTACTGCATATTGTGTAGCTCAATAGACCGGCTGAAGATGGTTGCAGCTGCCTGTACCTCCATTGCATTGGACGATCCCTCGTAGTTCTTCTGGCAAGTTGCCTTGTGGGTTTCTGCCCACTCCTCGAAGTGTTCGTCGTCTTCCTTGGGGCCCAACTCGCACCCGTGGCAATACTTGCTCTGGACCGAAAAGTCAAGCACCAAGCCGGTCTCCAGTTCAATAGCAACGCCAACTCCGAAGTGCGATGTATGGCCACGTTTATGCCACGTGCCATCGTAGCTGATGCAGACATCTAAACGATCGCTGCCGGCGGTCGGGCTCCCGGTCGGTTGCGCGTCCCTCACGGCTTGCGCAGCGTCCCTCATTGCGTCACTCGCCGCTTGCATCGCCGCATCATGTACTTTGGCCGCGATCTTCTGGTACGACTTGACGTGCACCGGGGGCGGAGCGTTGAGGCCCCCGAAAAGATTCGTGAGCTTCGTAAAACTGATGCCACAGTCTCTTCCAACGACGCCGAGACGCACCGCGAGTTCGTTCTGTCGAGACTTGCCAATTGACTGTGAATGCGGTGTCGTGACGATGTCTCCGCAAGTCGAGCAGCTAACAACGAACTGAAGGTTGACGCCAATTCCTTCTTCTCGCAAGCTCAGCAGTTCTCCGTGGCACTTGGGGCAGAGCAAAGCCGCAACAAGAGTTTGCACGGCCGACACACTGAGGAGCCGATAGCCGTCCAGCGGCTTTTCAACGGGAGCGTCCGTCGGCTCCGGGTCGTCCGTAGTCCCCGCGTCGAAATCGAGCAGGCTGAGCTTCTTCTCGAACGTGGTCAGCACATCCGATTCGGAGGAGACAGGAAGCCGATGAGCATTCGGAGATGAAGCTGTAGGCTCCGATGTCCGCAAAGCCGCACTTGAGCTTGAAGATGGTGATGGTGACGGCGGCGGCGGAGACGGCGACGATGGTGCCGGCGGAGACGGGTCCCCGTCCTTTGCGTGGAGTGCCGCTGATCGACCCCTCGGTTTTCGCCATCGAGAACGCCGGCCAAAGCTACTGCGAGTGCTAACCTTGGAGGCAGGCATTCTTCGGCAGAAAAACTACCGGGAACAAAAAGGGAAAACGAATCTAAACAGCGGCGAAGTAGCGATACGATCAGAAGCGAAAGAAGCAGCCGAAAGCGCGCGTATCAGGCGAACAAGGAGCTACGTCACCGAAGACGGCCAATCATGAGCCCCGTTTCGGGTCGCAACCAATGGGATTGCTGGTATCACAGTTCCCACGTTTTTTCGGCTTGTTTGTACGGGGTTCTCCCGGGCCACAGATAGCCTCCAATGTAGCAAGCTTCTACGGGCAGAAACTAGAAGAAACGGCGCTTCCAACGAGGGTAAGATACCTCGGCTGCGTCGAACGAGCGCGGAGTAGGCCCAATTTGAAAATGCCGAACTTCGCTGTTCTGCTCGCTCGGCGGGTCGCCGCGCGCGGCCGCGAGCTTGCCGAAAATAATTTTTTGCGAAATAAATACTGCGTATTTATAAATGAAACTTTCTGAAACTATGCTTCAGAGTATAGTGAACCCAAATATAATAATTTTTAAAAATGCATTTTTTCGAAAAAAAATGGAATTTCGGGGCCGTATCCCTTAAGTAAGGTACCACGTGATTCGACAGCAGACCCTTGCATGATAAACAATTCGCGACTTGCTCAAAAATGAGCAGGGAATACGACCGGAGGGCAGCAACACTTGAATCGCTCTGCGTCGGAAAATCGCCTAAGCAAATCATTGTGTGGTATGGCTACAAGACACACAAGTTTACAGCATTGCCAAGACGTTCAGATAATCTGCCAGCCAGGAAGACGTTACGGCAGACCGAGCAAAGCACAGAAAATGGTCAACATTCATCTTACCTTTGCCCATGCGTGTTTTTATGAATATGGTAAATTTTCCAGATTTACCTTGATGACCCTCTATAATTATCATCTGTCCTTTCCAACTTTTATCTACTCCTGCCTTGGCCACTCGATGGCCGATAGTACAAAATTAATAGAAATAAAAGCTAGCACAAGTCGCAACAATCAGGCAGGTACAGGACAGCATTGTCTGTGCAGACTGAAAGCATAAGTTGCCTGCAAACCCTAAAGAATCCCGTACAATCTTTCAATGCTGGAAGTAGCGAAAAAATAGAGGAAATGTAGGACTTACTCCACATGACCCTTGTAGAATGTAGGGGTCATCAGGGTAGTCGTACCCTTCACAAGCAACTTCAATGTGGCCAAACTTGAGCGATTTGGGCAGATCTGCCTTGCACTCCCACTGCGCAAAGGATGAACATGAGATGTGCATTCAGCTATATTTAGAACCAATGCAATTAAGAAATACGGGGAAGGAAGTTAATGTCGCAAATTGATCAAGTTTCCCAGGAACCATGAGTAAAATTTGTCCTGGTCTACAAAGATTTAACTGTCTGCCTTCCAATTTCAACTTACAAAAACTTTAGCTTGTGTCGACTTTGCAAAATGTCGAGCACACAAAAATTGTATAAATCGTAGCATTTTATTTTTCTACAGACAAATTAGTGAATAAATGCTATAGGAAGACTGACCCAAAATAAAAATCTATATCAGGAATTTGGGTTTTCAGCTGCAAAGCTGCAGAAAATGGGTTTTCAGCTGTTTTCAGCAGGCAGGATAAATATGCACAGCGGACAAAGATATCAGAAGGCAAAACTGATGACAGAGAGAGTATCCAGAGATGTTAAAGTGGCGTACCATGGATTGAGTTATATTAGACTGTGTAGCAGAACAAAAAAATATATTTGAAGTCCAATGACGACACACCCACCTGGATGTCAATGCCGTCACTGCCCTTGTTATAGCACTGCACCGTTGGCGGAAGACTGGTGCAGCCTGCACTGCCACCCACGCATTGCAGCTGTGGGATGGGACTAGACCTCCGACCCGTGGTGTAGCTTCCGTGACTCAGCGTTAACGTCTTCACGTCGCTCAACTTCACCTTGCGGTGCGCTGGAACAACGTCGACAGTTCAAAAGATCAGAACTTCAGCCTGGGCGAGTTGGTTATTCATGATACTGCTTCACAGCGCACAAGATCAGACACACAGCGCTGCGTGAGTGTTCCTCCAGTGTGCGTGAAAATTTTTTTAAGTGTGTCTGATCTTGTGCGCTGTGAAGCAGTATGTAGTGTTTTCAAATTCTTCTACTTCCTCGTCCAATCGAAGTTTATGGCACGATTGATGGCAGAACCATAAACAATGGTTCTGTCACCGGATCAGTTCAAAAGAATTGCCATCCTGAACATTACAGTCTGAATAAGAGGAAACAAGATATTTTGACGGAACTAATCCCTGGAGAGAGGGAACAAGACGGACAAAGGACAAACACAAATCTGTGTTGTGTGTTTGTCCTTTGTCCCTCTTGTTCCCTTTTTCCAGGGATTATTTTCGTGCATTTAATTGCACTTTAATCAAAATATTTGCCTTTACGCCACGAATCGGCCGTAAAGCGTAACATTAGATAAGGTTGCGAAGGACGGAACTTTCATGTTCTTTTCGGGTTCCGGCGGAGGTAACGCTAGACACTTGCGATTTTAATCGCCTTTGTCGGCCGCAAACACAAGTATGGCGGAACGGGCAAGGCGATCGTGCACAAAACAAACAGAAACAAATTAAATATCACAATTTTTTTTTCTTTTAGTATTGGTGCAAGACGACTTTCGCGCTTTATTAATGCCTGCATTTTCTTGCTGGTTTCATGCGAGATAGTGAAATGATGATTAAGAGAATCACTACTATGACATCATCTCGGCGTTAAGCGACGTGTCTTTAGCGATCACGTACGTTCTGCTGCGTTTCAGCTTTTACGCTTCGCGCAGAGTAGTACGAAAATGAGACCTCAGAACCATAGAAGAATCGAGTGAACTGTCGAACTTACCGTGAACAGCCAAAGATGCACATCCCAGCAGCAGCAAACCGATCCAAACAAACCGGCTAAAGAGACTCGAACCTGACGCCTCCATCGCCAACCCTGCCCTCGGAGTTGTTAGCTAAACACCTATTGAGAATCCAGACTTCAATTAAGAAAATCACAGGTCCACAGGAGTAACCTAATCTTCGCTAAAGGTTCACCCGGTTGTCTGCACAGCACAATTAGCACAAGTAGTGAAGTCACTCAAGTGCTCAAGCGGCTTTGCAAGTACAGAGTACAGATGGTACAGAAGCGAAAGGAGCGATTTGGTTTCGATTTCGGACACAGCATGGCGCTGATAGGTTATCAGGGTTTCCAGCGTCTTCGGCCTCTCAGCCACTTGCTGAGAGGCAGAAGTTAGATGGTGCCTGTTTTAAATAAATTATAATTTTGACAAAAAAAAAATTTAATGCTTTAAAATGAAGCGAAACAAAACAGTTTTGTCATCTACTTTGGAGAAACAAATTTTACCAGTCAGAGTCAAAAGTGCGTCTTAGTTTCGGTTTAATATCGAGAAAAAGATTTCTTATTTTTATTCAACATAAACCTCTCTTTATTTTTTTTTTTTAAATTGCGGTTACAAAGATGTGGGTGCATACGATGACATTTTTATTGCTAGTTATTTTTTTATTAATGTAAAATAGTAAAAAAAACAAGGGTTGGGGACGGGCAAGGGGGACGGAGGACGTTGTAGGCCATTACACCAGGCAAATCATCTAAGGGCATGGTTAAAATAGCGCGAACTTTACAAGGACAAAAAATGTACACGTACGACAGGACTGGCGCAACGCCAGACGTGTGCCTTCTTTTTCCTTGTCAAGTTCTCGCTATTTTAATTATGTCTAATAGCAACAAACTAGCCCAGTCAAAAGTCGTGTTACTTCTAAAAGGACTCGAAAATAAAATAGAAAATACAGTAGTGCGATAGTCTACGTCACGGGACCCTGACCCCCCTGACCGCTCGCTTTCCAGCGGAACATCGCGATTATATTTACCGAGCAGTATCTGCGTTTGATATTTGGCGATATTTTTTGCAGCGTTGTAGAAGTAGCATGTTGAATTTATTGTACCCTCGAAAAGCGGATTGGTACCTCGTTGGTTTTCACCGTTTTCACTCATGTTCTGCGCGTGCTTGCGCGTTCACATTTCTGTTAGCAAGGGCATAAAGTTCGCGCTGAATGCGGAGCTTAAACAATCGCATACTCGCTTTCGGCCTTTTGTTTTTCGACATTCGTGGTTATATATAACGTCGATTAAATCATACTAATATTGTCAGTGCGCATCCTCTGTGGAGCAGTACGGATGTAAGTAAATACACCCATGCCTTTTAAACTAACTCTTGTTTAGCGCACGAATATCTCGGACGAAATTAATGTGGCATACATATTCCTCACAGCAGCCCGACAAATGCTTCCTCGGAGGCTCCAATTGAAACGGCATTGAGAATGCCATTTCCCGACAACAGCGCCGCGGAGCTGCCCTAGCGGACGTCCCTGATCTAACTACGCCCGATCAGCGCTGGCCCGATAGCCTGCGCATAAATGCGCTGGTTTCGGTGTCGTCGATCGCAGTGGAACCGTACTGAAAAAGAAGATCGCCGCCAGCATCCTGTTCCCTAAACCCCAGAACATCTGCCCAAGCCACAAGCTTCTCGGCGAACGTTCCGAAGATGCATCGCGTGCTCAACAGTGTGCCAGCGACGGTGTCGCGCTGCCTCGGCGCGTGTCTGCTTGCCGCTAGCAGACGCCAGTCTTATGTCGCGCGCCGATGGGGCGGCAGCAGCACTGCGGCGGAACCGACGGAACCCCGGCTGCTTACGTCCTCCTTCCCGGGACCCAAGTCAGAGGCCCTGAAGAGCGAGCTCAACGGCATCCAGAATGCGGGCGCCGTGCAGATGTTCGTGGACTACGAGAAATCCATCGGAAATTACTTGTACGACGTGGACGGCAACGCCTTCCTGGACATCTACACGCAGATCTCGTCGCTGCCACTCGGCTACAACCAGAGCCGTATATGTAGAGAGTTTGGTCAATGGGAGGTGCGGGCAGAGCCAGGGCGTGCGGCAGACTCGGAAAGAGGGCTTGGCATGCTCTCTTGACCAACCAGAAGCCGAAAAGAATCCCCTAGCGGTGGTAGCGAGAAACAATTCTGAGCCGATCGATCATCGAAGGTTTATGTTCGTATATGGTTTTAATAAGTGCGTAAGAGTGAAGTGTAGTAACTCTTTGTGGTCGAAAATAGGGTGTACGTGTTGTTTCATCATGATCATGCAGAAAGACGTAAGAAACGAATGCGCCGCTCAACTCTGTTTTGCGCGGACAGAGTGTGACCGCTCTGACGGCAGATTCCCGGCGCTCGGCGTTTGGCGTAAGGATTATGTCTATCTTTCCGCTAGTCGCACTCTTCCACCATCATTTCAGATGAGTGTGATTGAAACATCACGTGTACCATATTTTCAGCCATCGAGAGTTACTTTAATGCAGTTATCAGGTTTGTTTCTTGCGACCACCGCCAGGGTATTATTTCCGGCTTCTGGTTGGTCACATTCGAATTTCTGAAGACGCCCTGGAACACGCCCAGCCCGCTTTCGGCCAATGGCGCCGCTTCATTTGTCTCCTATACTTCCCAACGAATGGCCAAACTCTCTACATATACGGCTCTGGCTACAACCATCCGGCCCTCGTGGCGGCCGTCAAGGACCCCGCCAACGTTGCCACCTTCGTGAACCGCCCGGCGATGGGGATCCTGCCTCCGAGCGACTTGGTGTCCCGTCTCAAGAATGCGCTGTTGTCCGTCGCGCCTTCGGGTCTTGCCGAGGTGCAGACGATGGCCTGCGGGTCCTGCTCCAACGAGATCGCCTACAAGGCCGTGTTCATCAACTACATCGGGCCTGAATCCGGGCCTGAATCCGGGTGGCGGCGGTGACCCACCGCCACCAAAGAACCCTCGACGTCCGCTCGGTCCAGAGGTGGGATCGTCAGGAGGAATGTCCGTGTAGCCGTCTGCGCCACGCTGCACCGCGTTGGTCATGCAGCTCTTGTAGATGACGTAGATGATGAAGCAGAGCACACCAAGGATCAACACATTCTGGAAGGACGAAGACTTCCCCTTCTGGCCGTAGTAGCTGCAACGTGTTTGCACCGGAAACATCAGTTTTTGCCAGTACTAATGATTGAGGTACTTATAATGCCTTACTTTGTCCATCTGACTTACGAAAAAAAAAAAAATTAGATGAACATTTTTTAGGTTTATGTTCCAAACGCAAGGTATCTGGCACGTCCCAGCGAAGGACTGATGATTATTTAGACTACCTGGGGACTTTTAATCTGCAACCAAAGCCCGAACACATTGAACAGGATTTGAACCCACCATGAAGGGATCCACAGGTATAGTTTGCGTATGCAATACAGCTATCAGTTTCTCGGGTTTTGCTCAGGCACCAGCAACAAAGCTAGCGACATGTCCCTGTTTCTTGCTTAGAGAAATAGTGTGCAGGTATTGGTTCTGTACCCTCTTGAACAGTGGTTCAGCAGTGCCTTCCTGTCCAACTGATTAATTACAAGCATAATTCTGCAACTAAAGCGTTGAGAACCAGGTATTTAATAATGATTGCAGATTAAGTCAGAGGGGTAATGCGGGAGAGTTGGATCATGTGTAAAGGGCAAATCTGGTCAATATGTTTGAATTTGGGATTACGACTTTTCAGCTAAGGCAGTGTCCCTGAATTACGAGGTATTTTTTTTTTCTTCTCGATGTTGCGTGTATTTTTATAAATATCACAGCTCAAAGTTTGGTTTCGGGCGTCTACGCCAAAGCCGGAACTATCTGCTAGAGGAATGGCAACACTGATCATCGTACGGACGTGACGTCGCACTGGTGCTGCGGCACACAATACATCCAATCAGTCGCAGCTTGACCGCGACGTGAATTCGCAAGGATGCCGCGCCAGTGTTCCCCGACTAAAAGCTAACCCGCCTGGTTGCACTTTTAAAATTGTTTTAGTTGAGCATGCGGCTTCACTCTGACGTAATATTTCGGCTGTGATCATATTTTGTGCCACTAAAGCAATACCAGTCATTTATTCTGGTTTTATTCTTGTCCGGAGTTGCCCTTTAGGGGGGATGCAAGAACGGCAATCTTTTTTTAAAAACTTATTTCGGGTTTTGGGGTGTTTTATTATATTTGCAACTTCATATTTAAGTACAAAATTACTAAGTACCAAATGGGATAGCGAAATTCGCCAAATATGCATTTGGAGAAGTCCCTGCAACCCAGAAAGGCGCAAATTTGAGCCATTTTTGTGTGCATGGTTCTTCTTCAAATTATGAAGTTCAGATGTAAGCCTAGCAGTCACCTTTTCGTCACATTCTTCTGTAACATCAATGTCTTGCACAAATTAAGAACAAAAAATTATTGCTTCCGCCACGAAAGAGCGTCTCTGCACATGTACGGTAATATTTAAAATGTCTTTTTTTTCTTTTTGTAATTTTGGGACATAGACAGAGTTTGTACACAATAAATATTTGTTTTTAATGTTGTCCTATCACTACCACATTTGGCATTTAGCAGTTAGAATGCAACTATCAAGAATTGGTTAGAATATTTATTTTTATGCAAACATAAAGAAACTTTAGTTTTCCCTATAAAAATGTTTTCGAAATGTTCAGTTATTTTAAAAGAAGAGACGTCTCACACACATTATTATTATTGTTGTTGTTCATAGCACTCAGCGGTTTAAGAAAACCCAGAGTAGCTTATCAAGCTATGTATATCAAAGCTGATACAAAAAGATATCAAGCACCATAACCTGTGAAAATGTCATGCAACTATCGTATAATTTAAAAAAAATGTTTTCCCTTGGCACATGTTTCCTTAAGCAATATATGAAACAGCGTGCAAAACAATGAGGGTGGGAGCGAAAGAAGTACACGGGACGAACGCTGAACTGACAACTAAACATTTACTTTTGTTGGGTTTCTTTCAATAAATCTTTAGTTTTGAGTTCAGTGCTCCTCCCATCTACTTCCCTGTCATCCTCATTGTTTTGCGTGCATATATTGCTTGAAGATTGTAAATTAACCATAACATACAGAGCACATGCCCATGTTGCAATAGGTTCCCAACCCCACATTTTAAAACATTTGAAATATAAGCAAAGCATATTTCACAAGCACCCACCCCCGGCAAACTTCCCAGCCTGCCAAACTAACTGGGGTGTATCTCCAAGAAGCTGGTGCAAGAATGTGAAGCTTCACGCACATGCACCGGTGCAAAGTGGTGAAGCTTGACACGAGAGTGTCGGCACGAAGCAGGCTTGACGAGTGTGGCACAGCTGCTTTAAAAACGAGGCGTTGCACGTGACCCCTGTCCTATACCGCGCCGTTGGATCAAACAGGCCCGCCATGTGCCCCTTTTACTTCTGGACCAAACAAGTGCACCATTTGTTCCAACGTTTGGGTGGGTGCTTGCTCAATATTTTATGATACTACCAGAATTCAGGTGCATGGCAGTTTTCCAGGAACAATTGTCGATGAAAAACTTGCCTGTGTGATTGGCTGTCTTCGCTGTAACTGTGGCCAGTTCTCTCCAACTTGTACTCCAACTGATGGGGAGAAAAAATGTCCAGTTGCCCAGAATCACCACTACCAACTCAATTCATTTGTGGAAGTCATGAACATGCATTATGTGCTATCGATGTTCACAGAAGTGTAGAACTGATCTGTAAAGTGTGTCTAAAAAATACTTCAAGTAAAATACAAATCAAATGAGAGGTTGTGCACTTCAAGTAAAGTACAGGGTGATTCAGGGAGAGGCCAGGCTCTTTAAATCGACCACAAAATTCGGTTTCTTAACCTATCGCGCTACGATTTTGTGCAGCGTTGCCCACAGATGGTGCATTTTTTTCGTAAAATTTGCAAAGAGCGAACTTGCCTCTAAAACAAAACAGGAGAGTTTGCTAATAAAATATTCTTGACGTTTTGAGACGTGGTTATGTAGAACAGAAAACAGAACAGACACGGACGACGTGTCCGTTTGCTCTCAACCCTCACAAAGACGGATTTCGCTGTCTTTTTCATTGAATGCCACTTTCCATTACATCACTTGCTTCGGTTCATCACAGTGGCTAGAGCTTCGATGTCAGCGGCAGAAAAAAGTTGCGCTGCAGACGTCAAGTGGAGGAACACCAGCGATGCCAACTTCATTTCAAGGTCACCTTTTTTTCTTTTTTGTAGCAGGTGAAGTCAAGTTTTTTTTTTAGTGCAAAGGAACTCGGGCGGAGATTAATGCAGTCATTCTGCCAGGGTTCAACAAATCGTCATTACATCCGTCAACTCTGCTTGGGGATGATACTATCTGAAACCAATTTGAACTCTTTGCAACGCCTGAAAAATATTGCCCAGGGCGCAGTTTGCTTAATAAGTACTCAAAGTTTTCCGCCAAATGAAACTTTAGAAAGTAACAGCTAGAAAAAAAGAAATAAATAAAATAACCTTGAGTCGTATGTATTGGCATGGAGCAGTCTACTGCTAAACAGTACGACGTTATGCGTCTTCACGTCATAAAAAGAATTGAGTGTCCTCAGAGATGAAAGGCATGACGACCTAGTCCTTTGTGCACGTTGGAGAAAACCATAAAGTTGCTGTATCACAATCAGTGGCAGAGTATCCCTACCCTGGAAATGCTGAGAAACCGAAACCGAAGAAACTTGACGCTAACAAGATGGCTGTGTGCACAGCGTTGCCAGACCAACATGCAGTTTCGCATGTCATTTAATGGCCACGGAGTAGTTGCACTTATTTGTCAACAAAGCAGCATTTTGTGATGGAATATTAACAAGAACAAAATTTGGGAGTGTACTTTGAAGTCTGAAGTTGTACTTTCCTCAGAAAGTACCAGAAAAAAATCTAAGTACAGTATTTACTCAGAGAATGTACTTCAAGTAAAGTACAAATTTTCTATACCCACTTGAAGCAGGTAGTACTTTAAGTACAATTTACTTAAAATCCATAATAATCCTCATACATACTCCTCGGATGTTTTTAAATTCTCGACTTTTGTAAGATCTAGGGATGACTAGGACTATTCGCAACTTTCAGCGATGGTGGTACTGCGGTGTGAGAATCATATTCCCTAGCTCCTGAACGATAAGCTACAGGATGAAGTTGTCAATTGATTACTCCTTCCTGATGTTGAAGTGTTTACACTCAGGCGTCACACACCCCACCTCGCACTACTGTTCTACAACTATCATCTAGATGAGAGTCATTTTGATAATAACTAGAGCGCCCCCTTAGGCCGTGAAAGTAGTGAATTGACTACTGAAACAGTAGTCAATAGTCGAAGTGCAGCTTTATGTGTAAGCAACCTCACTTAA